TTAAATAATTTAGTAAAACATACAACTTACTTATGTAACCAGCATCATGACTTTGGAATGCCCTGCTACGTAGCATAATACCAATTTAAGGCTTCTGACTAGTGCCCCTTGAACAAAAACATTGAAAAAAATTGGGACCCACCAACATAGGGCTGGAAAGCTCAGTTGGTAGAGCACTGGTATGGCAATCCAGATGTCACAGGTTCAAACCCCACTCATGTCAATTTAAGGTCCCACGCAATGTAATTTTTAAAAATTAATGCAGTCCTAAAAAAAAGCGCCTTTGTATCCCATTTAATTTTATTTTCAATTTTCATTTTGCCATTTCCAAGGGTGTTTTGGTGCCTTTTTGGGTTTTTTTGCAAATGCAATTTCCACATTCATGAACAAAAGTGTGATATGTCATTTCAGGCAGAAATCTCTGAGTCACCAGAAAGGCGTTAACTTTCTTTAAGTTCTTTGGAGATTTGTTGTGGTGCCAGTACATGGCTGTAAGCCAGTGAAGCCACTTTTCTCACAAATGTTTCAGTTAAGCCCCAAACATACATTCACGGTTGGAGCTATGAATATCCACGGTTTACCGCCGACTTTCTAAGAATGCACTACGGTTTCAGGACGGATAGCCACAACTGTCCCAAGGTTCTCTACGAACACACCACGGTTTGTCAAGAATATGGACAGATTATTGAAGAATAATGACGTTGATGCCACGGTTGTCTGCGATTGGGCCACGGATGGCCAAGGTTCTCCTACGAATGAAGCTCACATTCGTTGTACAACCTTTGAGCAGAAACCTAGCATATCCGGGCATATCCGTAGGACATTGGTAGTGAATTCGCAGAGATTTCTACCACAAATGAGCTATGAATCTAAAAGAATATGTACGAATGGCCACGAACAACACTACGAATAGTACAGATGTCCCACTGTTGCACTACAGTTTGATTTTCATGACAATTCACCACAGAAGTTTGGAACAGTTGAAAACTTTCGTAGCCCTTCCATGAATACCTAACGAAGATGACGGATAACCTGGAAGGTACCGGTACTAAGGATGAATATGGTACTCCCACGGTTTATCACAAATTTTAAACCATGGATATCCATGTAGCTTCAAACTGTGAATGTGTGACAGGGGCTTTAACACTTTTTTTTGCCAGGGTTCACAATTTGAACAGGAAAAAGTGCACTTTCAATAAACTTAACCAAAGAGGAATGTCAAAACGTTTTCATACATTTAGGAGGAGTAGAAGGTTACACAAAATATGTTCGTAAGAAAGAGTCTCTTCATGGACCCTATGAAGATGAATTCTTGGAACGTACCACTGGCCATGAAATTCTACAAAGTTCCTTCAGTGTCTTCTTGTATTCTGACGCTGGTGCATCGGGGAACAGACGCCGGCAACGGTTCCATCTGCTGCCCTCGTGTGTTTTCAAAGAGCTATCATCAGGCGCTACTGTATTGCTCTCCTTAGGGTAAGGGCCATTTCCTGCCACTGTCTCATCACAGTGTTCCTTACTGTTCGCACTGACTTTTGAGTAGTCACCCATGGCTGTGACAGATCAAACAGTATAGGCACTTCAAATTCAATCTGTGAAAGAAAATGACCAAAAAGGATCAAGCCAAAGTGTGGTGCTTATACATGTATAGCATTTTATACCATTTCAAAGCGCTTTACAATTATTACCCCAGTTCATCAGGAATGAGACCATTTCTCTGCAGCAGCTCGAGATCAGCGCACTTTCGTCTCAACCTTCACAGGTGCCCATTTTAGACTCCTGGGTGGAGACCGAGAGCCATTGTTTCGGATTGCTGCTAGCTTGACTCGAAACACCAAGAATTGTCTAAGGCGGACACTTTGAAGCACTTTTTGTCTTTCCGACTGTGTGACTTTTGTCCAGTGGCGTAGCCAGGAATTTTTCAGTGGGGGGGGGGGGGGGGGGGGGGGGGGGGGGGGGGGCTTTTTTAGAAACTCAAAATCTCATTGGGGGGGGGGGGGGGGCGGCGACTGGGGGGGGGGAAGGTTTCATGGGGGGTTTGTCGCCCCCCCCCTCCCACGCCCCCCGTGGCTACGCCACTGCTTTTGTCACAACGTGCAGTTTAATCTGCAATCAAATCGAATAACAATCTCTAAGAAATCCACTTAAAACTATCTAAACTAATTAACATGGAAATAATAAGGAATCTTTACACTAGTTTGTGTGTACATATGAAACAAGAATAAATTTATTTGTTATTTCTTTATCAAGGGTATGTCCAAACAGTTTAAAACTGGTTTCCATTGGGGCCCTGCATACAATAAAAAATGACTACAAACATGAATATTTACAAATACAATACATTACAAATACAATTCAATACAATGGGATAAAAGCATTATTTGACTAATGCATAATTATTAAGCAAATATTATAAGTACAATATATTGTAAACCTATTATAACTACATGTACAGTGTGAAACAACATCGCTATAATAGGCTTTATTATATAAAGGTGATTTTAGTGAACACGAAGCATTTGGATCTATCATGTAACATCCAGAAAAATATAATTATATTCACTGATTACAGGAGGGGCGAAAAACCCTTTTGGGAGAAAAAAACGGGAAATTCCCATCCGGCTCCTTATTATTATGGCAGCCAAGCTTGTTAACTCCGTAGATCATCACATATTGAGATTTGTATAATCAGAGAAGACAGCAACAAATTTGCAGAAATATTACTGACTGAGCGTTTTACGTAGTTCAGATTTGCATAAGGTTAGAGAAGTCATGGTTCTCAACTGCACATGCAAATTATTCCATATGATTGAACCGGTTACAGCAAAGCTTGAGGAACAACATTGTTTTGTTTTTTTGCAACAGGAACCGTCAGTGCCATATCAGTGGACTGTCTGATAAAACGTTAAAATTGCAATGAAGATTGGCCTCTACTCAAGTTAAACAACATTGAACTGATCAAAAGCTAGGTCGACAGGTCTAGCCAGGTTGGACTCTGTTGTGTAATCAAGACGTCATCCAACCTGGGCTAGGTCAGGTCAGCCTAGCTACTTGCTTCAATAGGGACAAAATGTTGCAGCCTGACACCCCTTTTTTTCTTCATATATCATCTCAATGAAGGTCAGTCACTGCAAAAATGGTGATAAGACATGAATCTGGGACTGAAAAACATTTCCAATTACATGATTAAGGCCTATATGTTAGGAAATACTTAGAAAATGTTCTTGACTCTCCATAGACTTTGTACACAACCGCTGAAGTAGCGTCAGGTTAATTGCAACATTTTTTCCCACACGATACTAGCGTTTACTTACCCGCAATTTGCTCCAATCTAAAAACAAATACTTTGAGGGCGGTGAAGCGTTAGATGTTACTACACATACGCCGTTCTTCTGCTTATAATCAAACAAGCCAAAATAAATATCTTGCACAGAAAACAGTCACGGCAATCCCATCAGCTGGTGAAAACACAAGGCAGCACGCAAAATGGTCACACGTACGCGAGCCAGGGCCAGCCGGGGTGACACGTGCGTGCGCGAGGGCGCTCCTAGGTCCAAGCCGGCGCTGTTTATGATGCGTCTAGATCTATAGCCCTAACAAATCCGTGATGATCGGGTTCAGACCAGTAATAAATTCCCATGGACACCGACATTGAAACATTGCGGGAAAATACTCACAATCAGATTAAAGCTTGATAAATTCTTTCCCATTTTCTGTTGATTGACGTTTGATTTTTGGGTGATTTTCCTCTCCGTCCAAAAAGATGACCACCTCTAAAAAGCAGTCCTTAAGTCCTTCACGCACCAATCTGGAAAATAATGATATATTCATCCTTTGCAAAATAGATCGACTTTCTGGTAAAATGTCATCAACATTTTTTTCAGCAATTTTTAGTACTTTCAAGTCCAGATATAACATTGTACACTTACTCGCTACAAATATAAAACCCTCGAGTGTAATTAGGACTATGGCAGGGCCAAGTTTTATCTCGTAAAATTTCATGTATTTTTATTGTATTTAATAGGAGTATATATAGTTCCCCTTAGAAAAAAGAAAATCATTTTAGTTTTATGCCGCTTCCCATTCTTGGTAGTGTATGTGTCCCCCAAATTGTCGGGCACATGTTAGCTTTACAAACAGCAGATAGAGATGAGTTAACAGTATTTCATATACATGTAGATATATTCCGCCTCCCTAGCACTAACGGGCCCCACTTAATAGAGAGGTACGATCCGCCTCACCGCTGGTACTGGCAGCCTCACCGCCTGTATAGGTAGCCTCATCGCCATGCAGTGCTGCTTCTCACAAACAAGGAGCCAATCGAAAGGGGTGCATACCCATGTTCCCCAACCCTAACACTAACCCTAACCCAAAGGATGTTGGGGAACCTAGGTATAGGGGAACATACATATTGGGGAACATCGGCCGGTGGTGATTTTGGTGTGGGAATACCTGCGCCCCAGAATGAGTTGGGACTTTATGTCCAAGGAAACTGATGGACATGACAGTGTGTTATCGACACTGGGGATTTGTTTCTATTGAGCTCTTCTAAAAAGACAGGCCCAATAGGCTTAGACCTGTGCTTCTATACGCCAATCGCAGATTTTGCCAAGCAGATGGAAGTGAGCCATCGCTGGACAAATGAAGATGCCAATCAAAATTGGTAAGTTGCCAAAATGGAGTGTGCTGCAGAATAGAAAGACTTTCAGAAAGGACCGCGAAGTTCTGGCTGTACACAAATGGGGACTCAGAAAACGCCATAAAGGAGCTTGGAGCAGGTTCTGAATAACTGGTTGGAAGTTTTGGCTCCACAGCTGTGCAGGACAGGCATAAGCCCTAAACTGAGGCTAAACTGAGGCTGAACTGAGCTGGCCCCTATGTTATAGTTGGAAGACTGGATCAAAGAACACCCCGCTGTAAATCACAGACTCAAACCTTGCCCAAAGTAAGAGCAAAAGACTGTACCTCCGGCAGTCCCACCGCCAGCAAGGGTAGTCCCAATGCCAGCAAGGGTAGCCCCACCGCCAGCAAGGGCAGACCAACTGCTGGCACAGGCAGCTCCACCGCCTGTGTGGGCAACCCCACCGAAAGTGCAGACAGCCCCACCACCGTGTGTGAGCAGCCCCTCCTCAGGCTTGGGCAGTCCCACGGACAATGAGGGCAGCCCCAGCCCAAGTGTGGTAGCCCCACCACAAGCATGGGCAGTCCCACTGCCGATGCAAGCAGCGCCCCACTGCTGCAGCGCGCAGCCCCACTGCTGCCACACGCAGCCCCACTGCCGAGTTGGGCAATCCAACCACTGGTATGGGCAGCCCCACCACCAACTTGGGCAGCCCTTCCCCGGCTTTGGCAGTCCCACTACTGATGTGGGCAGTCCCACTGCGGGCACGGGAAGCCCCAACGCCAGCACAGGCATCCCCACTGCCAGCGCAGGTAGCCCAACTGCCTGTTCAACCAGCCCCATCACAGGTGTGGGTAGCCCCACCTTGCGCTTGGGCAGTTTCACTGCCAGTGCGGGCAAACAACCTCAGGATTTAGCAGTCCTACAGACGATGAGGGCAGCCCCAGCCCTGGCGCGGGTAGCCCAACCACAAGCACGGACAGTCCAACTGCCAATGAGGGCAGCTCCAATGCTGGCACTGTCAGTCCCAGTGATGATGAAGGCAGACCCAGCCCCAGCGAAGGTAGCCCCATCACAAGTACGGGTAGCCCCACCACCAGTGTGGGCAGTCCAACCACCAGCATGGGCAGTCCTACTGCTGGCACAAGCAGCCCCACCTCCGGCTTGGTCCATTCCAAAACCCGCTTGGGCAGTCCCACCGCCGGCATGGGCAGTTCCACACTTCAGGACAGCCATTGCTTTACACAACACATCCACAGATAATAAAATAAATGATATGTACAGAAGACAAATTTCAGTTATATGTGTTTTTTTTCTTTGTTCATGCGAATGCAAAGCACAAATAACACCAAGATATACAGACGTTCACAATAATATATGATGAAATAATTATTTACTTCACTACTTACATTATATACACCATTTTATCATTTACAATCATGTACATTCAAAAGATATTGCTGATTCCTGAAAATGTATTCTGCATTTATCATTTGAGAAAACTAACAAAGATTTTACAGGCTGAAATTAATAAACAAGGCTTCACTTCGGGCGATTCACAATGCAGTGCGCCACCAAAGGTTTGCCACAGAGAGTTCAATTTTCCCAGTGCATTGTGGGAGATGGTCGACAAATTCGCAGCGCAAGACATTTGAAAGTGTTTGTTATTCCGGTCAGTAGTTTCGTAAGCGTATGATTCGAGGATCTGTTTGCCCTTTTCTTTTCTTGTTATCAATGTGGTGGTTTTTTGGTAAGGTCAGAACGTATGTGCCCCAATCTATAACGAATTAGCTCAAGTTGTCTACTGACACTCATTCAAATGGGCCATGTTTTGTCAACCGTAAACTTTAAAAATGGACTCTCCATGGCAAACTCTTGGTGGCGCACTGCATTGTGAATCGCCCGAATTGTATGGAGCTAAGCAAGGAATATTGCTGAGCACTTTTGGCAAGTAACAGAAGGCACACACAACCCAGCATGGGTGTTGATTGGTACTTTGTCAACTTTGTTACAAAATCTATCGGCTAAAATATATGTACTTCAAGTCATAGGGCACTCGGGTTGGACAAGTATTAACTCTTCAACTACAAAACCAACTGCCTAATAATTACACACAATTCCAGACAATGCACAATTTAGGCAAAGCTCATATCAGCTCATATTAAGTGGGCACCAATTTTAGCCAATAGGTTCTGATAGTATGATGTCACAGACTCACAGTAACACAATACCATTCGGCTTCCCCCCGTGATCGGCCAAAATTGCAGTAAGCAAGCCTTTGGTTAGCAACCATGCTGTGCATTGTAAACTAGACGGCAGGGCATATTTTCACTAACAATAACTGAGAATTCCTCATTAAATGGCATAATGAATGGGAGGTTTGCGGTAACACCATATGAATAATATCTCTTTTGAGTAGTGTGGTTCTGAGAAGAACCAGTTGTTTTAACTTGACAATGGCATAATGGTCACTACCTATGCCATGTACGGTTGTCATAATTGTACCAGCACTGGGTGTTGGCTCAACCTTTTTTCCCCAGTTGTTGCCATCCATTTCAGCTTGCCTACTTTTGCACGCGGCGCCAAAAACAAGGGCGGGTCACTTGGGTCAGTGAGGGATCCCTTTATATACAACTTGCTATTAAGATAAGAATGGCTTTACTTTGTAAGATGGAATTTTTGTGTCGGGGTGATATAAATCAAATTAGAATTTTGCCCTTCACCGACGTTTAAACACTGTATACTCAGTGTGTTACCTCCCGAGTGAAAGTTGGAAAAAAAGCTGGTCACATCCGAGTGATTTTTTCCAACTTTCACTCGGGAGGTAACACACTGAGTAAACAGGGTTTAAACGTCGGCGAAGGGCAAAACCTAATTTGATTTGGCTTTACTTTGGTTGTCTTCAGGTTTTAATTTTGTGCTAGTAATTATCATTTCAGTTCACAAATGAGCATGATTAATTTGAAAAAAATTCTGTAACCCTCAGGAAATGGTTGAAAGTTGCAAACCAAAAAGTTAGTGAAAGCAAACAGTTTTTGCCAAACAAAAGGGACTAGAGTATTTGGTGTTGGCAATGAAAAAAATCTGCAAGGCACCCCTACAAAATAATAATAATAATAATAATAACTGGAGTCTTATATAACGCATGTATCTACTAACAATTAGGTACTTAAGGAGCTGGTAATTATGTCTATTTTTAAAGACAGGTAAACAAAGTTTTATGAGAAATATGAGACCCATTATGTAGCACCTTTATAAAGGATATACAAAGTGCTGCGGCGCATATTGCAGCCACTGCCAGAAACACCGGGGCAAACCCCTTCTCTCAGCGACAAGTGTTATTGGGTTCTTTAACATGCATTACACAACACACGGGATCTACGGCTTTTCGTCCCATCTGAAGGACGAAGCAATAATGGTGAAGTGCCTTGCTCAAGAGCACAAGGACCATGTTTCCCGTCAGGATTCGAACTCATGAACCACGGCACACGAGTCGAACACCATAACCATTGGACCACAGCCCCCCACTTGTTATTGTTTGGTTGATTTTTTTTTTTCATTTTTGATTTGCTCAAATCTGCCATACAACTGTTGAAAGCATCTTCCGCACCAAGTTCAACAAATACAAATGGAGGAACAACAACCCTTATGCCGCTGACTTTCAATTCCCTGGTTGAAACTGTGTTGGTAAGTTGATTCCGTCGAAGCAAGGTTTTTGTTTTTGATTTAAACTTGGTCAAATGGCAGGGATATTGACAGAGACACCAAACTGCTGGGAGAATTTGCGAAGCTGCTCCTCATATTGCACATTGCGCTGCAACGCCTCTCTGTAGTTGAACTTCAAATCTTCTATTTCCTCAAAGAATGCCGGGTCAAACTGCTCGAGTTCCTTGTGGAGCTGAAACGGGAGATTCACAAATGTTTCAGACGAGGGGAATCGGCATGACAGGACAACTGAGCTTTATCAAATTGCAAGACCACTAAACCGTCCTTAAAAAGCGAACACTGCTGCATGGATCAGTGTTTGTGCACAAATATGTGGTAAGCTTGCTATAAATTATAGTAGACTTTAAGTATGGATTTTTGTAATTCTGCATCTGTATCAGTGTTGTCGAGTCCATCACAAGTCCCTGCAAGTCAATCACAAGTCCATCAGAAGTCCTTCAGTCTCAAGCCAAGTCACTAGCTATTCAAATGAACTGTTACAAAAGCATTCCTTTGTCATTGTTCATCCTGTTACTTGTGACTGGACTGGTGGAAGGACTTGTGACTGGACTTGTGAAAAGACTTGTGACTGGACTTGTGACTGGACTTGTAACTGGACTTATGACTGGAATTGTGACTGGACTTGTGAAAGGACTTGTGACTGGACTTGTGACTGGACTTGTGAAAGGACCTGTGACTGGTCTTGTGAAGGGACTTGTGACTGTACTTGTGACTGGACTTGTGACTGGACTTGTGACTGGACTTGTGACTGGACTTGTAACTGGACTTGTGACTGGACTTGTGACTGGACTTGTGACTGGACTTGTGACTGGACTTGTGAAAGGACTTGTGACTGGACTTGTGACTGGACTTGTGACTGGACTTGTGAAAGGACCTGTGACTGGTCTTGTGAAGGGACTTGTGACTGGACTTATGAAAGGACGGGTTAAAGGACTTGTGACTGGACTTGTGACTGGACTTGTGACTGGGCTTGTGATGGACTCGTGCCTGGACTTGGGCTTGTGATGGACTCGTGCCTGGACTTGTGACTGGACTTGTGATGGGCTTGTGACTGGACTTGTAACTGGACTTGTGACTGGACTTGTGACTGGACTTGTGACTGGACTTGTGACTGGACTTGTGACTGGACTTGTGACTGGACTTGTGACTGGACTTGTGACTGGACTTGTGACTGGACTTGTGACTGGACTTGTGACTGGACTTGTGACTGGACTTGTGACTGGACTTGTGACTGTACTTGTGATTGGACTTGTAACTGGACTTGTGACAGGACTTGTGACAGGACTTGTGATGGACTCGACTACAACAATGATCTGTATTTGTTATCTGTGCTGAAGCACCTATGTGCAAAGGCATAAAGGCATGCATATTTAGGGATTTTTTGCCCATCTAGCCTGCAATTATTATATACTTGTGTATTCCTTCTACTTTCCATAAATGTTTGCACTTGGAATCATGGTTGTTCCTGCACAAGTCAATAATGCTGGGCAGTCCTGGAGAAAACCAGAATTCGGATATAGTTCTTAGATTAGTTGAAGTACCAACTAGATCCTAGTAAAGGTAACAAACACAATACACCAACCTTCTCATTGTCACGTTTTAGCCGTTCCTGTTCCAGCTGGAGGGATTTAATGTCTGTTCTGAGTTCCACGTTCTCCTCCATCAGCTTGTTGTAGTTGTGGAGTCTTTCCGTCAGAAAATCATCCTTGGGTCAAACAAAAAAAATTCAACTTGAAGCAAGTCCTGACTTTTGTATCTTTTGGTTTTTTTTTATTTGATCGCCACACAAGTACTTTCCATACCTGAAGCTCTGCAGTTTTCTGTCAAAGATTTCAGGTCTGGACAATGGTTTGGTTGAGGTCAATAGTTAACACTCGATTTGAGATGTAAATCCTTTCATGCCTAAAAAGAAAAATATTGACAGGTTGGACTATGCTTGTGTATAGCTTGTCTCTTTATTCACAGAACAATAACTCTGTCAAGGGGGAAAAAATGAGTTCTTGAAAGGTAAAATTTGGTTTTGCTTTAATTTTCAGAAATGGATGGATTTGGGGGTTAGTATAAAATGGCAAATATTGTTACACTGATCTGTTCAACATATTGTGTTCTTGGATCCTGGCAAAAGCAAGAAGAAATGCTGTTCTTGTAGTCTGGTTTCCTGATCCTACCTTAGACGAAACAAAGCAATTTATAGACGTCTGGGAATTGTCAGGTCAGGGAACCAGAAGAGCTGGCTTGCATCTGTTAAATTGGGGGCAGTATTTCAAAAAAAAAAGTCAGATTGTTTTCCAACGATGGTCGGCTGACCATCATTGGAAATCGATACACAAATTCCACTTTTCTTGAAAATGACAGCACACCAGGTACCAAGATTCCACAGGATGCTTGAGACTATTAACCCTCCTATGCAAACATGCATTCTGAGCCATGCTGTTACGTGGGTCAATATTGGTCAAGTGACCCATTGGAGTGTAAAGTATATCAGGAGAAGTGGAAGAAAATTTTGACTGTTTGTGACCTTTTAAACAGCAGGGGGGTTAATCACTTACAGTCGAAAGTAAGATATTTCATACTAATTTTGTTGTTTTGTTTTCTGATGTTTCAAATGTAAATTACCTTTAACTTTAAGTGAATATTTTTCATAAACCATTTCAATACAGATGTACATGTATGCACTGACCTTGTCCGCTCCACTTCCGGCTGGCTGGCCGCCCTGCAGTCGGAACAGTTTCAGTTCATTCAGCAGTTCGGCTTTCTCATTCTCCAGACGATTTGTCATCAACCTGCAATCAAGCCCATTACAGATGATTTCCTTGAGCACAAGTTTGTTTCCCTAATATGCATCACAGTATTAGCTGTATGTTTTGCTCTGACACGATGATGACATTATCTCTAGGACTGGACTTAAGAATATCAGCGAAGAAGTCAAGCCAAGAAGGTGGAAATGGGTTGGTCACATTCTTAGCATGAATGATAACAGTCGCTGCATGACAGCACTGTCTTGGCGGCCTGAGTGAAGGAGGGATGTCGGTCGCCCTAGAACAACATGGAGGCGAGCCATCGAGAAGGAAAGGGACACATTAGGTTGGAGGCAGTGTTGTAGTCGAGTACTTTTTTCCGATTACCGAGTACTACCGAGTACTTAAGTTGCCGAATACGAGTAGGAGTACTTGTACCTCCGAGTACAAGAACAGGTCTCCGAGTACGAGTACTTGTACTTCCGAGGAAAGAGAACGAGTTCCAGTACTGTACTTCCTACTTCCGAGTACGAGTACGAATACTTGTATTTCCGAATACGGCCATACGGCAAACGGTTGATTGGCCCAGGCCAGTCAAAGTACCAATGTACATTACAGACCGCATCACGGCCAGTTGTTAGATGTGTTTGTCCGGACATGCACAGATGAAAATCGGGAAACTTCGATTTCTCCACAAGCCAACCAACCATTTAAACTGAAAGTATCGATAAAATAAGGCCGTGGTATATAAAGTCAAGATATACCATCCCCCCCCCCCCCTCCGAGTACTGCTTTTCGAGTACGAGTACTTTGATGATCGAGTACAATTTTGACATGTCGAGTACGAGTACTTTGCTGCTGGAGTACGAGTACCGTCATTTCGAGTTCGAGTACTTTGACATTCGAGTACGAATACGAGTACTCAAAAAAAGTGCTCGAGTAGTACTTGAGTATGAGTACCGAGTACGAGTACTACAACACTGGTTGGAGGACTAGGAGTGAAGCCAAGCAAGCAGCCAGAATCAGAGCAGACTGGACAGAGTACATTGCAGCCTTATGCGCCCCACGGCCCGAAGAAGGAAGGTGAAGGTTTGATCAGACATGATAAAGTTCACAAATAAATAATTTGAAGACTTTTTTGGGGGGGGGGGGGGCGGGGATTTTCCTGTTGAGTTAGTCCTTTTTAGTCTTTTATGTTCTAAACAAAATCAGCATTAACAAAAACTACCTAACGAGTTCGCGCTGGATGATGTGTGTACACCACAAAGGTTTTGTGGTATTTGGAATGGATGACGTATAAACACGTATAAACACGCAGTGAGCGAGGCCGGAAATATGAGTGTGCTGCCCGAGGGTGATGGCTTCAACCCGCCTGGCTTGAGGTCGAGTAAAAAGTAATCCCGCGCCTCGTTCCGTTCTTGCCAAAATAATCCCAGCGCGAACTGGTTAAATCAAAGAACTATTTTATCTTTGACAAGGCTAAAAAGTTTTGCAATGAAAGTTTATTCTGGGTGTGGCACTCGCTAAAAGTTCAGCACTGGATAAGTTACGTGCTTGCCCACGAGATACTGCTTGTAATGATACAGTCGAAAGTAGTATAAGCATCTAGCTGCAATCTCTTCTATGTAATATGCTAATGAAATCACACCTTGATTGTTGTAATTCTCGGACCAGCTCAGTGTCGGACGTCAACGCGTCTGCCGGGAACCTTTCCAAGATGGCAACTTTCTCCCTCAGCTCTCCGACGTGTTGCATCAGACCCTGCTCCCTCTGGGCTGAGTCCCTCAACAACTGTTTCATGTCTTGAATGGTCGAGTTCTGGGGTAGTGACAGAATGACATAGCAAGTCCAAATTTTCAAGTTGGATTAGAGTATATACCATTGGTGTTGTCGTCGGGCCCTTTGACGTGACCCCAAGTTGACTCAATTCTAAGGTGGTGGGAATGTAGAATGGTGGCAAGTCAAAATATACATTTTCATGTTTGATTAAGAGCATATAGCCTTAGCGATGTAGTCAGGTCCTTTACAAGCACCTAAGTGTATTCAAATATAAGGTGGTGGGAATCAAGACCAAGTAAGGCTATGCTCTTGGCCAAGTCCCTCAACGACTGTTCCATGTCTTGATATGGTTGAGTTCAGGTTTCGCAGCAGAAACACAAAAGCAAATCCAAATGTTCATGTTTGATGAGAGTGAATCCTGCAGCATGGTAGTCAAGAGCTTTTCAGTTCTGGGCATTCTAGTTGCAGTTATCAAATTGCAGTTATAAGCTTTGTCATCCTAAACAGAATGTGTCAAACTTTGAAGTTACTTCTTGGTTTTTTATTTACCTTTTTCTCCATGTCCTGTTCCATGTTGCGCATCTTCTCTTCGTACATCCTAGTCACCACGATGGACTTCCAGCTCTTGCTGTCGGCGCCCTCAAGTTTGGGCCCCCTAGCCTGCTCAATTTGCAGCTTCTCCTGGCTCTGTGGTGCCATGAGGGGAGTAAGAATAAAAAGCATAAATAATTTTATCAAATAATTACAAACTTAGGGAACTTTAAAAAAACAGCAGGGTTCATCCAAAAAAGTAGTTCGCACTGGCTGGCTGGCAACCACAGAAGTAAGGGTCTGAAACGACCTATTTATAATAAAAAACACATGTGCTACTGAAAAGCCATTTTCATCAGCTTGGCTAATTATGACGTAATGCCGCCCATGCCTATATGTTGCAGCGTAACTGAATACAGGTTAGTTTTTTTTTAAAAATACTCTAATGCATCTTAATCCAACTTGAATTTCTGTTTTCGGTTTAGGGCCCCAATGGACACTAGTTTTAAACTGGGTAAAGAAATGTATTAAATAAATAAATAAATACTCAGACTCGAATTCATGGTACTCTTACTCGTGAAGCAAAGTAATTGGACTTGTCTTATTTGATATCGTAGTCCATCATCGAAGAAGTCATACTCGACTATAATTACTCGGTAATTTAGTTTTGAATGAAAAAAAAAATCTCCTCATTTGAAGACACAAGTGCTGCGTTTTATCAATACTTAATACTGAATAGTACTGGGCTGTAGAGAGGATCGATTTTAATTCAAGATTTTAATTGTTTTCAATTGAGTTCTCCATAAAGTATTCGTACTCTGAGGTCCAAGAACTCAGACTCTGCTTCACAAAACTTGTACTCAATGGTCCTGGTACTTGGACTAGGGTATCTGTACTCATGCTCAAAGGTCAAAGTACTCAGGTGCGAGTGGTACTTGATGGCTTGGTGCTCAGCAATACTCAACTACAACGCTGATAACTTGAAATCTGTGGAATAATTTAGCACTACGCAATTTTGGAACACTGTTTTGAAACAGGTCTGACCTCTTCCAGCTGCCGTTGTAACCTCTCCCTGTCCAGGCTCAGCTGGCTGGTACTGACTCGGAGTCTCTCGGTGGATTCCACCTCTCTCTTTAACTCTTGCCTCAGCCGGTTGTTCTCCGACACGGCCTTGGCTACTCCCTTCTGGGTGCTCTCGTACCGCGTGCTCAGCTGACCGCCCACCTGCCGCTTCAGCTTGTCAAGTTCCGTCTGATTGGTCAAAGAAAAAAAATTCAAAATAAACAATCTGAAAGTTCTGGGGCCGATCTCACAAAATGCCAAGACGCGTCTTAGGAAGGGTAACTCGTCTTAACTCGCGATTTGTCCTAGGATCGATTTCACCACACTTAGGACGCGTTCACGTCCCAACTTCCTCAGTAACGCGGCTGAACTCTTAACTTAGGAATTTAAGTTTGGTCTTAGGGTTGTCTTATCTCATGAATAGTGTGCTAATTTGTATTTCTTATATGGACATCATTGCAATGTCGTCTTGTTTAAGAGGAGTGTCGGTCTAGAGCCATAGTTTTGAGGGAAGACAACCGGTGTAGAAACAGATTTCTGACTTGTGGGTAGTTTTAATAAAAAATAACTTATTTATGAAATTTATACGCCAACAGCTAGTCGACTTTTGGTGAGGCTTCCCTCGAAATAGAATAACTCAAATCCATTTGGGAACAAGTCAATGTGTTCCAGCCATTTTATGAGTTTTTCTTTTGGTCTCGTCTGATTTTTTGTTAGTTTGCATTTTTCAAAAATGCATATGAGACTCGGAAGATTGTGAAAAAGCACATACATAAGACTGTAATTGAATAGCCATATTACGTAAACCTTGGAAATTGTTTTTGTCAATTGCTGTAATATGGGGGTACGTAAACCTCGGAAATTGTTTTTGTAGATTGCTGTAACATGGGGGTACTTGTGTAAAAAAACGTGCCGTGTTTATCAGTTCTTTTCTTGGAAAATTATGAAGGTTTTTCCAATTTTTTTTATTTTGCAACCTTTCCGTAAAACTGCCCTAAAAGCAGTTGTGTTTTGTTGATATGGCATAAACATGACTTTTATAAAATGAAAAATAAATTCCTAGTTATTAAGTATGCAACTGCATTTTATTTCATGTGACTTTCATTGGGATTTTGTTTCATGTACATGAAGCTTTTTTAAAGGAAAGCAAGATTTTCCACAAATGTAAAAAAACAGTAAAGACTGTTCCAAACTAATCGATGCCTTTTTCAAACAGAGAGCATACCTTCAAATTCTGGTTTTCTTCCTTGAGTCCGTGAATCTCCGTCTGGACCGTGACCCCCGGCGCTTTCTTCAATTCTTCGTTCTCTCTCTGCACGCGCTCAACGACCTTCTTCATCAAGCCGATGGTGCGCTCAAGCTCAGGAACGGTTTTACCACTGGAGCCCATTGACTACGGTATTAGCAAACATGGGGAATATTGTATATACTGTACAAAACTAGATACAGTAAAAATAGACTACAAGTTAATCTTGCGCGATCCCCCTGGCATGTTGGCAGTATTTATACCTTCAGTTACTCAGAACACTTTTCAGTGTACCTAACCAAAATCAACAATGACATCACTTGACCCCTAGATGACCTTTGACCTCAAATGTCTCAAGTCATCTTAAGTCCCCCTACCCAAAGATTATTGTCACCAAGTTTGGTTGAGATTGAAGTCTGACTTTTCATATGACATCACTTTTCAGTTTACCTTTCATATGACATCACTTTTCAGTTTACCTAAACAAAAAAACAACAATTAAATGAGCACATTTGAACCCTGGCTGACCTTTGAGCTCAAATGTCTCAAGTCATCTGAAATCCCCCTACCCAAAAGATGCTCTTCCGCAATCCATTACAGCAATAGAAGACAAAGACAAGTTCAAAGCAGCTGCCAAAAAGCACTTCAACAAGTAAACAATAAAAAAACAACCCAGCAACAAAGAAACTGCATCTCACTACTCGTTTTGCTCCTTTCAGGGGCATTGAGTAGTATTCCACCAGAACCAGAACCAGAACCAAAGTTTATGGTCACCAAGTTAGGTTGAGATTGAAGTCTGACTTTTCATATGACAGCACTAAACAGTTAACCTAGCCAAAAACAACAATGACCTCATTTGACCCCCTAGATGACCTTTGACCTCAAATGTCTCAAGTCATCTAAAGTCAACCTACCCAAAGAATATTGTCACCAAGTTTGGTTAAGATTGAAGTCTGACTTTTCATATGATAGCACTAAACAGTTAACCTAACCAAAATGGAACACACGGACACACATACACACAGAAGGAATACACTATTGCAAGATCCCCCTTTCTTGGCTTAAAAGCCAGGGAGATAACTGGCTTCCTGGGTCATCTGTCAAGAAGTGAGTTTCACGAGAACGGATACATCTTTTTAAACCAATCTGCAAACCTACCCTCCTGAGTCCCATGCTTGAGCTAGCGGCGGATGGAGGCCGACTCCTTCCTTTCTCTCTCTCCTGATCCAAGTCAGCCTTCAGTGCCTCGTTGTATCTCTGTAGGTCCTCCACCCTCTGCTTGAGCCTAGGCACGTCTCGCTTGGCCTGCTCAGCATCAAACCTCAGCTCTAGGTTCTCCTGCAATAAAATGTTACAGTGTTGAAATGAAAATATAATAATAATAATGTGGTGCTTATATGTGCTTTTTACCAAAGGTCTCAAAGTGTTTCACAATTATTACCCCTGTTCATCAGGTCATGAGACCATTTTTTTCTGCAGCGGCTCGACATCTGTGCAATCTTGTCTCTACCTTCACAGGTACCCATTAATGCTCCTGGGTTGGAGAGAGGCCATTGTAGCAAAAAGTGCGATTGTGGCAAAGCGCATCTCATCGAAGACCCAAGCAATCAAAATGCATAAAGGTGTCAAAACAGCAAAAGAAAAGAAAAAAAACTAAATCCTGCCTTTTTAAGAAAATGACATTTTAATTATGATGTTACTTCTTAAAACTCAGAAAAAATAAACAGTATAACAAAAACTGTTGTCCATTGCAATGCGGTCAATGGGTTTTGTATGCCCTTCGTGGCTCATGGACTACATCACAGGAGAAAATTGTATGAGCTCCGTGCCTGACCAAGAGAGGGCGCGTTTTGCCTGGCAACGGTTCCTTATTCGTTTCATTTACGTAATACCAGGGGATGTGTGCAGACTGTACCCAATCCCTTTTATGTAGCTCTGACTACGAATAGTTATAGAGGCGGAAACCAGTCTGTAGGGGCAGGATATATGTTGAATATTAAGCAACATGGCGCCCGATTGAAACCGATTTAACGGCTTCCCACCAGCATCTCTCTCTTCAACGGTTGAGGGGGTACTTCTGCACAAGGTGGATAGCGTTTTATGCTTACAATATGCCAGCAGGCCAAGAGGCCAAGAATGTGTGCTCAATGCTTCCTACATGCAACTGCACACATACCGGATGGGCAGCAGCCTTTGCACCAGTACATTACAGTTTTGATGAACAATTACCAAATGAAATGTGGATTTACATCCTCACCTGCGATAGCTCAAGTATCTGTCTTTGTAGTTCCTGTTCCTGCTCTGGTTCAGTGGTTGCCCCTGCACTAGGCCCACCGCCAGACTGTTTTATAAAAATACAAGATTTTCAATCAGAATTTCCATTTTGAACAATTTTTTTCTCTGTCTTCATGGCAATAGTAAACACAGAGATAATGGTAATAATAATGAAAACTTATAAAGTGCCGGTATCTAGTATACAAATATTGAGTGGCTCAGCGTGGAATGGAAGGAATATTATCGCAAGGTAAACTCTGGATTTTCCATTTCATGAGGTGAAGCCGAATGAACTGGAAAAGTCCAGATTTTTTATTATACTTTGCTTGTGGAATTGTGTTAGAAAAATACTCAGAATCCTCAAAGCAAAAATCTATCAAGTCCGAGTAAAGGAATGACTATTTATCTATCTTCTTTTCACATCAGAATACCTCTGTCTTTTTAGCCAGCCGGCTGGCCATCTGTCGCTCCATCATATCCAGCTTGTCTGTCAGTTGTCTGTTTTGCTGTTGAACCTCCTCCAACAGTGTCCCTTGGCCCAAGGCTTGCTGGCGCTTCAAGGACGCAACCTGCATTACAAGCAAAAGACAAAAGGAAGATTCAGCATTCTGAAGGCTCCTATTCGGCATCGCAGTGCAGTTTCTTCCGGTCTGTACTGCAGAGAGATTAGGGCTGTCCAGTTTCAAATAATTTAGTATTCGATTATTCGAAATTGTGTTTGACCGAATATTTGAATATTCGAAACACACTAATCAAGCAACTGCGTGCCGCGCCAGTCAAAAGTTGAACATAAAGTGCGTTGCTTCAAATTTGCGTGTAGCGATTGATGTTATGGCCCGCTGTAGTGTTTTGCAGTAAGTGTTTTATAACTGTCAAGGGCTTTAACCAGTGTTGTAGTCGAGTACTTTTTTCCGAGTACCGAGTACTGCCGAGTACTTAGGTTGCCGAGTACGAGTACTTGTACCTCCGAGTACAAGAACGGGTCTCCGAGTACGAGTACTTGTACTGCCGAGTACGAGTACGAGTACGAGTACTTGTACTTCCGAGTACGAGTACGAGTACTCGCATTTCCGAATACGGCCATACGGCAAATGGTTCATTGTGCGTAATTGGCCCAGGCCCAGTCAGACCGATATACAGACCCACTCACGGCTAGCTGTTAAATGTGTTTGTCCGGACGTGCACAGAGGAAAATCAGGAAATCTTGATTTCTCCACAAGCCAATCAACCATTTCAAACTGAAAGTATCGATAAAATAAGGCCATGGTAAGTGAAGCTATAACATTTTCCCCAGCCGAGTACTGCTAATCGAGTACGAGTACTTTAATCATCGAGTACAATTTCGACATGTCGAGTACGAGTACTTTGCTGCCCGAGTACGAGTACCGTCATTTCGAGTACGAGTTCTTTGACATTCGAGTGCGAGTACGAATACGAGTACCCCAAAAAAGTACTCGAGAAGTACTCAAGTACGAGTACCGAGTACGAGTACTACAACACTGGCTTTAACCTGCTAAAAGGCTAAGAACCATGAACTGCCATCGACAAAATGTTACTGTCTACAAAAAGTGGCATCTGACAATAATACAGTGCTGCAACTTTACGATTAAAAATAACATCACAGTCGCGTACATGCGTAGTTTATTTTCTTTCTTTCGATATTCAAACCGGTAAAAAGCTATTTTGACATTCAGTTTAAACCTGTAAACATCACGTCCTTAATCCAAAACAAGAAAGTCAAACGCCTATTAAAACATGTCGTATCAGATGAAATGGGTGCCATTGTGTCCACCTTCAAATATGACCTGTCATTACAAATTGAGCTAAAAGTTGGAATTTTTAAGAATTGAGGTATTCATATATCTGGATTCTGCCGAAAAAGGGCTTTCAAATGGTATACAATATTAAGGGGTACTGAGTTCAGTAACGGAAATATGGACCACCAACTAACTTGAAGTTGTAAAACTGATTCTTGAGAAAATGGCATTTAAAAATCCTGCAGTTGTGTTACAGTGGATGAACAGTCAACTCATAACAGACGGGAGGAAATAGGTTTTAAAGATGTTTGACAGAACAAAAAATTGGAGAAAGGTAGCACGGGACTTACAGATTGAGGTTCACCTGAAAAAAAAAATTGACCACCCCTTCAAATTTTGGCTTTGCCCCACTGTAAGTACTGCAAAATGGCTATCTCCGACTTTCAGCTCATTTCGTGGTGACAGGTCACAAATTGGCAAAATAAGTACTTGTATGCTAAGTGATGAACACTGTTTAATTTTACAAACAAGGGAACAATGCTTGACATTCCTGAACAAAAATGGGTCTTTATTTTTTAAATGACATTGAGAGGAGGTTGTTTCTCAATTGAGTTCTGTTGATGGTTTGGTTAGGCAATAGTTAACCAATGGACAACCAGCTAGTCAAACAATTTTAAACAGCTTCCATCAGTTAACCAGTTATAATCAGCTTGTTTACAAGTTAAACAGCTATCCACCAGTTAACCAGAGGAAGACCAGCTGGTTAACCTATTAACCAAATGCCTACCAGTTAATCAGCTGGTTAACCAATTAACCAGACGTCCACTGGTCAGCCAATGGATGATCAGCTGGTCAACCAATTAACTTTCCACCAGTTAACCAGTGGATAACCAGCCAACCCCGGTTAATCAATGATTTGCCAGCTAGTGAATCAATGAACCAGTCATCCACCCCAGTTAACCAGTGGATTACCAGCTGGTTTACCACCTACCTCTTCTTCCAGCTCATAATTCCGCCGCCTCATTTCCTCAATGGCTGAGTCAGAGGTCACTGTCTTCTTCGTTGCTTCTAGTTTTGTTGCTGTGGTAGGCTTGATCCTCTCCGCCCTACCATGTAACAATGAAACAATTTATTAAAAAACGTTTTCCTTAATTGCCTGAACATTCATTCACTGCTTGTGATATCTATTTTTAAAGGTAGAGTCAATCATTTGTCATCTGTGCATTAGTTTTGTTTAAAGCAACGAAAGTGCTCTAAATCTAAAGCAGGTGTGAACTAACCTGATGAAGTTTTAGCGCAGTGAATGCTGTATGTTCCGAGAAAACAATATTCTAGGATCTCAATTGCAATTCAAGAGTTGCCAAGTTATATTTTGAATTGCGCCCGAAATCAGCATCCGGAAAAAATTACTGAAAAATGTTTATCAACTATTTTATAAGCGCAAACAACTCCACAATGTTGATGTTTGGTGGACATGTATGGATTCTGGTTGTACTTCACCACTTAGAATTTCTTTTCAATGCGGATTTTTATTTTGAAAGTTCAGCTTGAGATAAACCTGGCCGATTCTGACCTATTGAGGGCATCCTTCATCATCTTATTGGCCTTCTGTAGTTGCTCAATCTCCTTGTCTCGGTCTCTCAGCTTACTACGAAGACTCTCCACTCTCTTCTCCCATTTCTTGCCTTCCTCCCACTTGGCCACCTCTGCTGCGCTCTAAGATATCAAGCAAGAATCACAAGTAAATCATAAGTAAATCACACGTCGATCATAAGTAAATCCATAATACATCGTAAGTACGTCAATAAAGTCAATCACAAATCAATCACAAGTCAATCACAAGTAATTGCAAGTCGATCACAAGCCAATTCGGGTGTTTCACAATGCAGTGCGCCACCAAGAGTTTGCCACGGAGAGTTCCTTTTTCCCAGTGCATTGTGGGAGATGGTCAACAAATTCGCAGCGCAGGCTATTTGAAATTGTTAGTTTGTCCAGTCCAGTAGTTTTGTAAGCGTATGATTCAAGTATCCGTTTGCCCTTTTTATTTTTACTCAATATGGTATTTTTTGTAAGGCGACAGAACGCTATGCCCCAATCCTTAACAAATTAGCTCAAGTTGTCTGCTGATACTCGTTCAAATGGGCGGTGTTTTGTTGACCGTAAATTACAAGTCAATCATAAGTCAATCACAAGTCAATCACAAGTCAATCACAAGGCAATCACAAGTCAATCATAAGTCAATCATAAGTCAATCCTAAGTCAATTACAAGTCAATCACAAGTCAATCACAAGTCAATCACAAGTCAATCACATGTCAATCACATGTCAATCACATGTCAATCATAAGTCAATTACAAGTCAATCACAAGTCAATTACAAGTCAATCCTAAGTCAATTACAAGTCAATCACAAGTCAATCACAAGTCAATCATAAGTCAATCACAAGTCAATCATAAGTCAATCATAAGTCCATTCACAACTAAATGATAACTAATTCACGAGTCAATCATAAGTCAATCAATAATCAATCACAAGTCAATTACAAGTCAATCATAGGCCATTCACAAAATCAATCACAAACTCAATCAAAAGTCAATCGCAAGTCAAATCACAAATCAACCCAACATCAAGTAACAAGTCAAATCACAAATCCAACTACCATTCAAGTACAAGTACAATCACAATTCAAATGACAAGTCAAATGACAAGTCCAATTACAAGTCAAATACAAGTACAATCACAATTCAAATGACAAGTCAAATCAAAGTCAGATCACAAGTCAATCACAATTCAAATGACAAGTCAAATGACAAGTCAAATGACAAGTCAAATCACAAGTCAAATCACAAGTTAAATCACATTTCAAATCACACGTCAAATCACAAGTCAAATCACAAGTCAAATCACAAGTCTAATCACAAGTCTAATCACAAGTTAAATCACATTTCAAATCACAAGTCAAATCACATTTCAAACCACATATCAAATCACAAGTCAATCACAAGTCAATCACAAGTCAAATCACCAGTCAAATCACAAGTCAAATCACATGTCAAATCACCAGTCAAATCAAAAGTCAATCACATTTCAAATCACAAGTCAAATCACAAGTCAATCATAAGTCATAAGTCAATCATATAAGTAATTCACAACTCAAATCACACATCAATGTCTACCTGTTCCTTTTTAGGGTCAGAGGTCACCCCTTTGGCTTCTGACCCCTTAGTTTGTTGGAGTTGTTCCTCCAGTGCTATGATCTGTTTCTTGAGTCTGTCTACCTCGCTGGAGGGCCCCCTCTCTGGCTCTTCAACCTAAAATCATTTTTAAAAAGTTCATAATTCTAGAAAAATTCCAGAAAATTGAAATACATTCATCACATTCAAAACTATCAGTGAGTCAAAGTCTCATTAGCTTCTAGCCTATAAGACCTTTATTATTATTATTATTATTATTTATTTTTGGTAATGAAACCAAGGATTCCTCAAAAGCGCCCTAGGCACTGTAGCTCGCAAGCCTGGAGAGACAGCGAGAAGCAATTGCAGTTTTAGAGGTGGGAGGAAAACCCCTGCAAAATATTCTAGGGAAAAACCATGGAATCAGGTAGGGACTGAAAACCCAATCCACATATTGGCGCAGGTGGGATTCGAACCTGGGTCACAGCGGTGGAAGGCGAGGAAAGTACCGCTGCGCCAACCTGACTCCCTGACAACTTTTAGGACGAATGAGAATTACACAAACACAAGAATGAGCACTGTTTGTGTTACACTCAAGCCTAATAGTACACATTAGCTGAAAACTCAAAAAGATCTCAAACACCCATAACAATGACAAGTTAAGACTACAAAATGAAGGCAAAATGGACACAAAGACCCATTACAAGGATTGCATGGGCGAACATTTTTGTGAATGAGATATTTAAATCTGCAAAAAACATTTCCTGTATACACTGCTACCACAAAACCTAAACAATTTTTTATGTAAAAAAGTAAAACTGCTGCAAACTGCTTACTGACTGGATGGACCTGAAATATAGCCTCTGAAGAAGAACTTGCTAAGTTCGCAACGTCAGGCCACATCAATTTTTTATGTTAGGTTTTGGCATTTTCAAATTCCTGAGAACCTCAAAAGCATGGATTTGCCAAAATGTTAAAAATAAAATGTGTCAACTTTGTCCAGGCTGTGTGGGAACAGGTCTCTGTTACTCATGAGTTCAATAAAACAGAAATTCCAAAAACCACAGGTTTCTTATTTCAAAGAGACGTGCCACCAAATGTATTCTGAGAAGTTCTGCCTCGTACGAGGAGCGTCTGAAAGAGTTAGACCTCCTAAGCCTAGAAGATCGTCGCAAACTCAAGAACAATGTTCTCTTTTTCAAGGGCCTCCAGAATTTGACATCTATCACAATTAATGATAAGGTCAGCTTCCGCAACACTGATTTCCACAATCTGAGATCCTCCAATTCTCCCACTCTTATTCCCAACAAATGTAAAACTGGCATTTTTAGGCAAACTTTTTTTAACCGCAAATACAACTCCTGGAACGGCATTCCATCTAACCTAAGAAATTCACAAGTTCTTTTTTTTTTTTAAATCGGGCCTCTTTGACCACTAATCACTTGCCAGTGATGTGTAATTTGGGTAGAGTTCACCCGTATATTTTTTATTATGCTAGTGCAATAATTTGTGGCCGTTTTTTATTGTAGTTTTTCCTTCTTTTTTTTGTGATTTTATTTCTTTGAACAGTATTTCTTTGTTTTCTTCGGTTGTTTGCTTGTTGTTGTGCTTGTCCCCTGTTTTTCGGTTTTGATGTGTGAACAAGGGTCCCCATTTAGTGGGCCTGTGCGCCTGTTCGGGGTTTCCCTTTTGCACCACATGTCATTTCTAATGTATTTGTGCAATGAAGGTAATAAAATAAAATAAAATAAAATAAAGAAGACTAAGTTTTTTTTATCAAATGAGCCACACCAAAAATCAAAGTCCTTGTTATGAAATGCATTGTCATTTCTCATTATTACTTCAGCCTATACAACTTTTTTAGACAAAACATTAATTATAGCAGGTTCATTTGGCATCCATAATCAGTTTAATCGAGAGATGTATAATTCATTTATTTGATTGTAGTGTGTTGATTATTTTGTGTTTCTTTGCTGTTTGCAACTATGGTTGACAACCATGCGCCAACTTCAAACTGACAAAAATTACAACTGTGACAAAAAACCTCTGACCTTATGACCTCTGGTGTACACGTCCATCTTCTGCTGGAGCTTCTTGTGTTCTTCTTGCAGTTTGTGCAACGCTGTTGACTTCACTTCCAAGTCCTGCAAAAGAAGAGGGAAGATTTTGGCTCAAATTCTGGACAACAAAATATGATAATTCAAACATCATATCTGATTAACTTCAAAAACATTGATTTAAGCAAATACATATTTTTTTGAAGAAACAAGAACTCTGTATTTCATCATTGAAGTAATTTTATAAAATAGAGGCTGTGGACACACCTTGAGGATCACATAATAACACAGTTGCAGCCTCTGGCCATTAGGAGGTGTTTTTCTTCGCTACTAGTATGAAATTTGTTTTTTTTACCATCACAAGCAAAACACAATGCCAAATATCCAATGGCAAAAAATCTCCACTTCTGTAACATTTCGATAGCTAAGAGTTAGGAACAGTTTTTTGACAGTCAAAGAAGTCATGAGATGGTTCATCTGGTGTCAAAATGTCATTTTTGTTTTTATTTGAAACTCTCTTTTCAGATCATGCCAAACATTTGTGACATCTTGTTAACCACTTACCGCCGGGATTAGTTTTGGCCGAAAACTCCCATTGTTAAAAAGACAAGATATATCGGCCAAATTTTAAAATTAAGTCAAACACCACAAATACTGACTCTTGAGAGTCATTCATACATTATTTGTGCGATACTTATCACCGTAACTTCATATTTTGCAACACTCCAAGGCCCCGCCATGGAGCGATATTTGCTACAATGACAGGCGGTGAACAACGGCCAAGTTCAAATTCAACACACAGTGTGTCAAGCATGCAACTGGGAATTTAGAAAAACTGCGGAAACTCCAAAACAAATTAGAGTTTGTACAGTGTTTTTCAATTTGTAATGGCATTTATGAGAAGTAAAAAACGAGGAAATCAGCGGATCCGAGGAAAAGTTGCATACCTGAGTGCGTACAAAACCAATGGGAACCAATGACGTATATACACGTCTACTGCCGGAGACTTGGGGAAATCTTGAGGATTTAACCCGTCACTCGCCCCTACGACTATACATTGCCAGACAGTGTTTACACATCATCTGGCTTTAACTGGTTCAATGAAAATAGAGTGGAAATGATTCTGTTCACCTGCTTTAGTTCCTGAATCTCGGTGCTAAGGGCGGACGACTGCACTCTGTGTTTCTTCAATTCTTTCTTGGCCTTGTCAAGCCTCTCTCTTGATTCTTCCAATTGCTCCTGTGGGGAGTGGGGGAGACACGGAAATATCAGCCAATAGTATTCTTTCAGGAAACTGCTTTCAGTTTAAAGGCATAAAGATCATTTGCTCTTCATGCATTTTGTTTGTTTCCACTATTAACACCACTCGTTTGCACTAATAACACCACTTGTTTCCACTAATAACACCACTCGTTTCCACTAATAACACCACTCGTTTCCACTAATAACACCACTCGTTTCCACTACTAACACCACTCGTTTGCACTAATAACACCACTCGTTTGCACTAATAACACCACTCGTTTCCACTAATAACACCACTCGTTTGCACTAATAACACCACTCGTTTCCACTAATAACACCACTCGTTTCCACTTATAACACCACTCGTTTCCACTTATAACACCACTCATTTCCACTAATAACACCACTCGTTTCCACTAATAACACCACTCGTTTCCACTAATAACACCACTCGTTTCCACTAATAACACCACTCGTTTCCACTAATAACACCACTCGTTTCCACTAATAACACCACTCGTTTCCACTAATAACACCACTCGTTTCCACTAATAACACCACTCGTTTCCACTTATAACACCACTCGTTTCCACTAATAACACCACTCGTTTCCACTAATAACACCACTCGTTTCCACTAATAACACCACTCGTTTCCACTAATAACACCTCTTAAGGGAAAGACTTTACTTTACTTACATTCAAGGGCGGATCCAGAACACAATTTTTTTTGGGGGGGGGCCCAAAAAATAATTGTGTTCCCCCAAAAAGTTGGTCCCAAATTTTTTTGGGATTCTAGATGCTCTGTGGTGCGATCTGAGACAATTTCTGACCACTTTCACCAATTTACTTTTAGGAAAAGATGATGGTGTATAAAAAAAATAAATTTGGTTTCGTTTTTTTTTTGGGGGGGGGGGGGTATGACCCCGTTGGCCCCCCTCCCCTGGATCCGCCCTTGCTCACATTTGAAAATGGCCAAGTTGGCAAAAAAATAGACAGCAAGACATAAAATATGATTGTCACTGTTAGTTTCCACAAATTATTAAAGTTTTATGATTTTATGGCAAATCTTTTGTCCAACAAACCCACAAAAAAGTGGTGTCCAATCCTAAAAGTCTAAGACTGCAACCGAGATGCTTTACTATGGCAACACATACACCTGTAGAAGCGACTTTCCATAGACCTTTATCATGCTGCCACCATTTCAGTCATGTTCCCCGTATCCAATAACACAACTGAATGATAATGTTTTTTGTGCAAAAAGTAACCAGACTATTTTTCCTTCCAGCCTCGCTTTGGTTACGTTGATTTGAATGGGAAAAAAATCAAGATAGCCGCAACATGATAATGGTCTATTGACCCACATAGCCAAATCACTTGCACAAAGCCTTAGCCCCTGTCCAAATTACCTGGCAATGGCTAGCAAAAACACAAGGGTCAATGGGAAGTGGCTTTTAGCCATAAAGCCACTTCCATGGGCATCATGTGTTACTACAAGCCGTAGCCATAGCCATTCCAATGTTACTTTTACCTTGATGTGTTTAGTCTCCTTCTCCAGTAGTTTCTGCACGTTGATCTGCTGCTCTTGGTCCTCTGCATTCGCCTTGACATTCTGCTGGGCAGTATCCACCATGTCAGCCCGCAACTTCAGAAGCGCCTGACTCAGAGACTACAAAACCACAAGAAACATTCTCAAAACTCTGCAACTATTTCAGAAATTACCGAACAGTGAAAGGTGCTACAAGCTTCAAAATGAAACACATAGGACAATCTACAAAAAATAATAATAATGCAGTGGGGTGATAAGCTTTTGATTTTTGAGGACCTTTTTCAGAAACGTGATTTCAAAGTTTTTTAACATGTTAGATTCTAAGAAAAGATAATTTGTTTTCCCGGATTTGTTTGGTGTTTTTTCCCTTAAATTCCCTGAGTTTCCCCCAACTGGAAAGATGGAAACTCATTTTAGAGGTTTCCCTGATTTCCAGAGTGGCTGGGCACCCTAACTGGGTATAATGTAATACACGTCTACGGCAAGGATACGAGGATGTTCTGTTTTCACAAGTTGTTTTTTTTACCTTGTGTTGTTTTTCCTTCAGCGCTAAATCGTGTCTCAGTCGTTCCACCAGCGCTTTCATGGTTGTCGTTGGGGCCTTGGCGTTGGCCTCCCGCTGTGCTTCAAGGTCAGCTTGTAAATTCTTGATCTGAAGAAGATAAAAAAGGGCCAAACTTATCAGGGAAAATTTTGAATAGAAATTTGAGAAATGGTAATTGCTCACCGAAATGATTATCTAAAAGAAATTCTGTAGTGCATAAAAGCTGTGTTATACTTCCTGCTGATGTAACAAGTGTGAGTGCACAATAAGCTCTGGCCATCTTGCACCAGTGCCAAGAAATAACAGTGTGCTTCGGGGTACCATCCACGCCGGCACAAATGATTTCACTGTGCAACGGACTTAAGCGTCGACCGGAGATTGTGCGTACAAGCCCGGGCCATCCCACGCGAAAATCACGCCGAGCTATGTACCACGTGACTATAACATTACTGCACATATTTTGCCTCCACTTACAAAACTTTCATAAACAACTTTAGGAATTGATTACAAACATTTTTTGTTAAGTATTTAATTGATTTTGTTTGCTTCTTTTTTTTTTGTAAATTAAAGTTGGTAGTTATATTTCATGGGAAACTTAGGGGGCTTGTTTTTGGTCAATTTTCCAGGGGCAGACATATGCAAAAAAGATGCCCATGAACATCGATCAAAACAAAGCCGGTCTTCCCAAAGCTTGAGGCAAGAGTGCATTTATTTGGCCACGGCATGGTATTTGAGCAATTTTTTGTCAATATTTTTGGTCAGTTTTCGGGGACAAACAGAGAGACAGACCAACTGACCGATCAACCACCAAGTAACATGTAGAAATCCTGCCCAAGCTAAAAAAAGAAGAAAGAATTTGCAGCAAAATTTGCTGCATTAGAAACATGTTCAACTTTTTTGTTCAAATTCAAAGAACAAACGCTTGTCTTGAAAACACCAGATCGTGTTTGTGGTTAATAGCTTTGGCAATAATTATGAACCTCCCAAAACATATGGTAACTTTAGAAACTTGTCAGCCCGCAACAGCTCAGAGTCCTTGCAACTTCAGAACCTTTTGTGACAAAAGTTTATAATACATCAGAGCCAATTCGTCATTGTTACCTCTTCTTCTTTATCCTGTATGACAGTCTTAAGATCGCCGATTTCACCCTCCAGACGAGAGACTTTGTCATTGTGACCTTCGATAATTCTAGGAAATAACAATCATTAAAAATGCTCTAAACACGATACACAGATTCAAAATGTTGTCATACTTAAACACGGACGGACATGGATGCCCTTTTAATTTATCATTGCAAGAGGATGTCCAGTATGAATGCTACAAATAAAAGTCACTGTGTAAACAGGGTTCAACCTTAACTTTATTATTCACTAGCCAGCTGGGCTACTGAAACAGATTCGTAACAAACCTGCAGGCATTTTCACTAGCCTGCATGTTTTTCTTTTATAGAGTGTCTCATGAACAACAATGTGCACACATGTAAAGCGTGTATCCTGAGGCAATCTTGTACGTGTTTTTAATAAACAGATGTAATGATTTAACCCTACAGTGTATAAAACACCATGGACCCTGTCACAGCAGGCAAAAACTGTATAATGAATTTTCTCATTTACCGAACAGTAACATGTAGCACTTTTTCTTATCTCTCCCCCCCCCCTACCAGAGTTTGTTTCCCATAAGGCCCCCCCAAAAAAGTTGGTCTCTGGTCAGCGCGCGCGTCGATTTTAATCATGCGCGTCAACCTTTTTTTTTTTCAAATTGTCCGCGGTAGCTACAACAGCACCTATTGCCGCACCTCCTCAAATTTTTGTACCAAGGAATGGGGAAATTGCACCAAAGCAAATGATGGAGGGCACAAAGGCAAATTATGGAGGACACCAATGTATATGAGAACACAAAAAAGCAAAAAATAGTACCCACCTTGTCTGTACAATCCACGCTCGAAAAAAAAAAAGCCTAAAAAAAAAAAAACTCGCGTCGCCGCATCAATTCCGGAACTTTGGTCTGACCAGAGACTGACTATTTTTTTTTTTGGCCTAAAATGTAAAAGCCGGAAAACTGGCATCGCCTGCTAAAGTACTACTGTAATTCTATAATTTGTCTCACTTGGCTTTCTCTTTCTTGTACTCCTGGACTTTGCGTTCCAGCACCCCCTTCCATTTGCTGGTCTCTGTGTGTGCCGCCTTCAGCTTGATAGACAAGGCTGACAGGGAGTTATCCTGCTCTGCTAGCAGGTCCTCCAGCTCCTGCAGGCGAGCGAGCTGCTTGTTGGTGGGTACGGGTGCTCCGGGCTGGTTCACTAGGGTCTAATAGAGAGTTTGGAGGTAGGACAGGGTAAACTCTCGTCTGAGCGATTTTAAAGGTGCATGACCCATGCCCTTAAAAAAATATACTTTTTTCTCCTAATGACTTTCAATTTGCATGTTTTCTTTTAACGGAAATAAAAATAATACTTTTAACGATATTTGGTGTCTACAACCCTCTGAGAAAGGGCTTTATAGTGCACATTATTCTCTGTTGGCTAATACTTTGAATTTTCTGAAGAAATCATTCGAACACTAAAACGTCGGTGGATTTTTTCGTTTGGTGTCTCATTAAAAAGGGAGTGACTTATATTGCTAGGAAACTAGCAATTGAAAAAAATACACATGTGTATATATTTCTCGAGGTAAAACTAGAAAATAGCACGAAGAATGCATCTCTAATGGCCAATAGGTTCATTTGTGCACAACCTTTTTTCGTCCGATTTCAATTTCAACAGGTAAAAAAATGAAATGTCACTTCTTCCATTCAGGCGATTTCCCGTTCATATTGTGAACCCAAAAACGTGCTCACTGAAAACATTTGTGCATGAAGTTTGCCCACTGACTGACTGTTAATGATTCATCATAAACAGAAAAATTACAAAAGATAAAAAAATATACAAATATTGGTAATTTTTGATGCTGAAGCAGCTGAAGGTCTAACACTGAAGGTTTCTGCCTTGAATGACATCACAGATTTGCTCATGAATATGGATAATTTGCATTAGCATAACAAACATATTAATAATACTTCACTCACCTGGGCAGCTTGCTTGAACTTGTTGAACGCCGAATCTGATTGGCCGTGGAGTTTCATCTGTAGGGCATGCATCTCCTCCAAATGTTTCTTGTGCTCTGCGGCTGATTCCTAAAATTTTAACATTTGAGAAATCAGAATTTGAAAAATAACCTCTTTTTCATAATTCTTCAACCCGGTGTGAGTTTGTAGTACTGAATGAAGATTATAACTTGTGAGCCTTTGTTTATATTTTATTCATAAATACCTAAGACAGTTTACAGATTCCTATTGGTCGAGAGCCTGTCACGTGGCCGGTTTAAAACGGTTGATAAAGACCGGCTGGATGGTCTTAAACACTTTTCCAGTGTCACATGAAATTTGGACTCCGATGAAATCCCGTGTCATCACCGTTTTATTGGTAAAACATTCACAATCCTCACGTAGGCATGCGCAATACTAACAGTGAGTCAGTATTTTATAGTCCTAAATTCACACTTCACCGGCACAGCTGGGTTCTGCGCCACATCACGCAGTACGCGCCACGCTCGCGCCAATTTCAATATAAGGAGTTGTTCACGACTTCTCGTGACGGCCATGCCGTAGCATAGCTAGATGGTGTTTCTAAAAACATAAAGTAAAATTGTTGAACAAAATCGTTAGAAATATATATTTTTTCACTTGTTTGACTTTTGGACTGAAAACTTTTATTTTTTGACCGAAAAGGTATTTATGAATGGGAATAAATATGTGCTTGGTCGGTATTAAACACTATGTTTAAGACCGGTTGGAGTCTGGATGCTGATAATTACCCTCGCCTTGGGCTTGGTTAATTATCAGCATCCAGACTCCAACCGGTCTTAAACAAAGTGTTTAAAACTGGGCCAAGCACACATTTATTCCCTTGATAAACAGCTTGCTGATCTGAATTTTCTCCCAAAAAATAATACTGAAAGTGAGATTTTAGTGGGTTCAATGGAGTTCACGAACACGCATGCACTAAATGTTGATGAAAAACATGAGTGAGAAGGCAGGCCACTTAAATTTCAGTCAATTAAGGACAGTGTAATATATTCAATATTATTCTTTCCTCTATAGACTGGTTTCAGTCTCCATAAATACTAAAATTGATAATGGAGTGACTGGGTACCAGTGTATCCGCCATCCCTGTTATAAGTCGGTTAAATAACTTTGAATTGCATTCGTGAACCAGCCGTCTTTCCCACCAAGATGTCAATGCTAGCGGACGACACCCCTCTCTTGTTCACACATGGACTATAAGTCTTGCCAACAACAAACTGTGATACTACTTCATCAATGCACAACTGTATTTTATAAGCATCGCCAGCCCACCTGTCTAGATTCGTCCAGAAGTTCCACATATTTCTGCAGTCCTTCCTCTTTCTTCTGTAGGCGAGCCTATCAATACAAAAAGAGGTTTCAACAATCAAGTTTATGTCAAAAGAATGTTTAAAGTTACGCCAAAAGAATGTTTAAAGAGTCTGGACATGTACGACACTAGTCTGGACAATATTCTAGAGCCCACAACTCAGGTCTTGACTCACCTGCAAACCTTTTATTTGTGTCTGTGCCACCCTGAGAGCCTGCTTGTGCTCACAGGACCCAGATCATAAGTCTGACTCACTTGTAAGCCTTCTGTCTGTGTCTGTGCCACCCTGAGAGCCTGCTTGTGCTCACAGGACCCAGATCTCAAGTCTAGACTCACCTGTAAGCCTTCTATATGCGTCTGTGCCACCCTAAGGGCCTGCTTGTGCTCACAGGACCCAGATCTCAAGTCTAGACTCACCTGTAAGCCTTCTATCTGTGTCTGTGCCACTCTGAGGGCCTGCTTGTGCTCACAGGACCCAGATCTCAAGTCTAGACTCACCTGTAAGCCTTCTATCTGTGTTTGTGCCACTCTGAGGGCCTGCTTGTGCTCACAGGACCCAGATCTCAAGTCTAGACTCACCTGCAAGCCTTCTATCTGTGTCTGTGCCACTCTGAGGGCCTGCTTGTGCTCACAGGACCCAGATCTCAAGTCTAGACTCACCTGTAAGCCTTCTATCTGTGTCTGTGCCACCCTGAGGGCCTGCTTGTGCTCACAGGACCCAGATCTTAAGTCTAGACTCACCTGTAAGCCTTCTATCTGTGTCTGTGCCACCCCGAGGGCCTGCTTGTGCTCAGAGGACCCAGATCTCAAGTCTAGACTCACCTGCAAGCCTTCTATCTGTGTCTGTGCCACCCCGAGGGCCTGCTTGTGCTCACAGGACCCAGATCTCAAGTCTAGACTCACCTGTAAGCCTTCTATCTGTGTCTGTGCCACCCCGAGGGCCTGCTTGTGCTCAGAGGACCCAGATCTCAAGTCTAGACTCACCTGCAAGCCTTCTATCTGTGTCTGTGCCAACCCGAGGGCCTGCTTGTGCTCACAGGACCCAGATCTCAAGTCTCAACTCACATGCAAGCCTTCTATCTGTGTCTGTGCCATCCTGAGGGCCTGCTTGTGCTCACAGGGCCCAGATCTTAAGTCTAGACTCACCTGTAAGCCTTCTATCTGTGTCTGTGCCACCCCGAGGGCCTGCTTGTGCTCAGAGGACCCAGATCTCAAGTCTAGACTCACCTGCAAGCCTTCTATCTGTGTCTGTGCCACCCCGAGGGCCTGCTTGTGCTCACAGGACCCAGATCTCAAGTCTAGACTCACCTGCAAGCCTTCTATCTGTGTCTGTGCCACCCTGAGGGCCTGCTTGTGCTCACAGGGCCCAGATCTTAAGTCTAGACTCACCTGTAAGCCTTCTATCTGTGTCTGTGCAACCCTGAGGGCCTGCTTGTGCTCAGAGGACCCAGATCTCAAGTCTAGACTCACCTGCAAGCCTTCTATCTGTGTCTGTGCAACCCTGAGGGCCTGCTTGTGCTCACAGGACCCAGATCTCAAGTCTAGACTCACCTGTAAACCTTCTATCTGTGTCTGTGCCACCCCGAGGGCCTGCTTGTGCTCAGAGGACCCAGATCTCAAGTCTAGACTCACCTGCAAGCCTTCTATCTGTGTTTGTGCCACCCCGAGGACCTGCTTGTGCTCAGAGGACCCAGATCTCAAGTCTAGACTCACCTGCAAGCCTTCTATCTGTGTCTGTGCCACCCCGAGGACCTGCTTGTGCTCACAGGACCCAGATCTTAAGTCCAGACACACGTGTTAGGCTTCCATCAGTGTCAGTGCCACTTTGAGGGGCCTGCTTGTACTCACAGTACCCAGATCTCAAGTCTGACCCACTTGTAAGCCTTCGGTCTGTGCCACTCTGAGGGCCTGCTTGTACTCAGAGGACCCAGATCTCAAGTCTAGACTCACCTGTGAGCCTTCTTTCTGTGTCTAAGTCACATTGAGGGCCTGCTTGTGCTCACAGGACCCAGATCCCAAGTCTGACTCACTTGTAAGCCTTTGGTCTGTGCCACTCTGATGGCCTGCTTGTGCTCAGAGGACCCAGATCTGAAGTCTAGACTCACCTGTAAGCCTTCTATCTGTGTCTGTGCCACCCTGAGGGCCTGCTTGTGCTCACAGGACCCAGATCTCAAGTCTAGACTCACCTGCAAGCCTTCTAGCTGTGTCTGTGCCACCCTGAGGGCCTGCTCGTACTCACAGGACCCGGATCTCAAGTCTAGACTCACCTGCAAGCCTTCTATCTGTGTCTGTGCCACCCTGAGGGCCTGCTTGTGCTCACAGGACCCAGATCTCAAGTCTAGACTCACCTGTAAGCCTTCTATCTGTGTCTGTGCCACCCTGAGGGCCTGCTTGTGCTCAGAGGACCCAGATCTCAAGTCTAGACTCACCTGCAAGCCTTCTATCTGTGTCTGTGCCACCCTGAGGGCCTGCTTGTGCTCACAGGACCCAGATCTCAAGTCTAGACTCACCTGTAAGCCTTCTATCTGCGTCTGTGCCACCCTGAGGGCCTGCTTGTGTTCGCAGGTCTCCTCCAGCGCCTTGAAGCGGACTCCCTGAGCCATGCCATCCTTGATGATTTCGTCTCTCTCGGAGGAGGCGGGCAGACGCAGCCGGAGTTCGTTGATGATCTTGTCTCGCTGGAGGAGGTTGTCTTCCGTCTCTTTGAGCTGGGTCTCTGTCTCTGCAAGTTTCTGTAGGAATAACAAATGATGCCAAAAATGGCAAAGTGCTTACAGTTTTTGTTTGAACCACCCTGGGCTGTATAATATTGTGTATTGTTGGCTGCTTAGGGGAAATTAAATCTTCACATTGTAAGACACGAAAGTACAACTTAGTAATTGGACCTGATTTTCTCCAAGTAAAACAGAAAGCAAACGAGGTCCTTTGGTGAATGCAAAAAATACGTTTACAAATTAATGCACTTCAAGCCACTTCATCAGATGTGAGATTAGCGGAATCTCCTTCTGTATCGTCATGAGTATCCACTTATACTATAGGTGGGCCCAGGCAACTGCTGTAAAGTGTCTTGCTCAAGAACACAAAGCTTAATGAACCCCAACATTTCTTGCATAATTATGGTGTCAGGGGAGAATGCGAAATTAAACAGGTGGTGACTCAAGGTTTTACAGGTTTTTGTAGGGTACAGAAACTGTGGGTTTCCAGTACAAAATTCTCCCCTGATGCCACAATAACTCAAGTAATATCTGTGTTCATTAACCCTAACTCCCTATTATGATTTACTAGGAACCATACCCATCCTGGCAAATTCCAACACCATATGGGAAACTGCACACACATCTTTCTGACTGTGATTCTGGAGGTGTGCCAACCCAATGTAAAAGACAGTCAGTTTAGGGGTACTGTACCCATCCAGACAGATTCCAAAAAAACATGCCATTGGGGTTTGATGGCTTGAGTTCTGTGTGGATTAATGAATTGTGTTCTTGGGCAAGACCTTTTACAAGGTTCCACACTGAGTATCACTTGTTTAATTTTGCATTTTTCCCTAATTCAGCACTTTTTGTGAACCTATATGGACACGATCAGCCGAGTACACTACAGAGTCCTATTTTGGCACGATCATGCATTTCAGTACTGTCGCAGAATTTGTCAATATCCGAGTGAAAGATCTTGAGTCTGTGTTTGGACTAGATCCAGCAAATGCTCATTACCTTCTGCAGGGCAGTGTTCTCAGCCCTCACATCCAGGATAGTCTTGATATGGATCTTGATGGACCTGATGGCATGCTCCAGCTGGCTGGATATGGGTAGGCTTGGGTCAGGTAATGATCCAGTTGCCTCCTCAAACTAAGAAAAAAACACACGATAAAATAGGTTAGTATTCATATGTGACCTGTTCTGTCAAAAGCAGACGCTTCTGGGCAGAGGTTGAAATTGAGATAGGGCCAAAAAATGCTGTTGGGGTGATTGTTTTCGATTTTCAAATTTTTGCATATTTGTAATCCTAAACATGTCTACAATATACTATAAAAGTTTGAAACCCCAATTTGAACTCTAAATATAGTATTTTTGATGATTTGTTAAGGTATATCAATTAAAGAAATGACTGTTTTGTGACATTCGTGGCCATTTTCTCCGTTTTCTACTTTTCGACACAATGAACTTCAAAATAGCATAACTCTGCCCAGAAATGACCGGTTTTAAAAATTAAACCACCTATTAAAAGGAAAAAGAACATATTTTAACAATATGCAAATATCTCATTTTTGACCTTATGCCAAGAAAAGTCTGATTTTGACATAACAGGTCACATATCTGCTTCATGCATTCGTATATCTTCCCGCCTAGAATTCTGCAACTCCCTTCAGTACAACCTGCCACAATATCAAACTGACAAGCTTCAACGCCTTCATGATGCCTCTGCTCGTCTTGTTTCACCGTCCGAACGAACAACCCTCATAACCCCCATACTTAAGTCTCTTCACTGGCTCCCCATCACCGATCGTATTGCCTTCAAGGTTCTCCTTCATGTATTCCATTCACTACAAGGCACTTCATCCGGTTACATCAATGACTTAATCACATTGTACCAGCCAGTTAGAAATCTCGATCACAAAAATTACACCAATTGACTGTCCCTCGTACCAATCACTCATGGAATCAACGGTCTTTCTCTCATGCTGCTCGGAACTTTGGAACAGTCTCCCACTTGAACTAGGCCAAATGAAATCCCTGTCTACATTCAAATCTAACCTCAAAACCCATCTGTTTGTCCACCGTTTTTGAAGTTAACGTTTTGTTTGTATTTATGCGCCATGAGCATCATGCTTGGCCAGTACCGGCGCTTTACCAAGTCTTCATTATTATTATGGTATAATAATAAAAGAAACATTTACCTATAAATGAATTATGTACCTTCAACGACATAATCATGAATATTCATAGCATGTGCCTCTACTAGCCCCATTACCCTCAAATCATGCATATTCATAGCCTAACCCGAGAGCAGCATTGGCCATATCCTTCTGCTACCTCTCCAAACTGTCAATCATCCTCTCCAGAACTTCAATATTGATGAATATTCATAGCAGTGCCTGTAACTGCCCTATGAACCCAAATCATGCATATTCATAGCCTATTCTGAGGGCAGCATTGGCCATCTTCTTCTGCTGCCTCTCTAAACTGTCAATCATCCTCTCCAGAAACTTCAATAAATCATGAATATTCATAGCAAGTGCCTGTAATTGCCCTATGACCTGAAATCATGCATATTCATAGCCTACCCTGAGAGCAACATTGGCCATCTTCTTCTTCTGCCTCTCTTAGCTGTCAATCCTCCTCTCCAGAAAGTTCAATATTCATGAATATTCATAGCAGTGCCTGTAATTGCCCTATGACCTGAACTTATGCATATTCATAGCCTACCCTGAGGGCAGCATTGGCCATCTCCTTCTGCTGCCTCTCTAAGCTGTCAATCATCCTCTCCAGCTCCAACTCCCGCTGTTCCCATAGCAACTGCCTCTCTTCGGATTCCCTAGTGACGCGGACGTTGTCTTGCTCCAGGTATGTGATTGTTTTCTCGTGCTGGGCCGACAGTCCGTCCAGAAACTTATTCTAAAAAAAAAAAAAAAAAAAAAAATAAATTCTAAAGGCTTTGTTGAACTTTAAATGGGGACAAATTATAGACACAACTTTTTTTCTGAGTAAAAGTGCTAAGTCTTTTGTGTCAGTGATCCAAATCTGGCATGCAAATGGGAAGTTACAAACAAAGATAACACTCCATGCTTTAAAGGGTCCATGAAATGAAGTTTACTTGAGAACACATTTTGCGAAACTTTCTACTCCTCTTAAATGATTTGCGCAACTTTCTACTCCTCTTAAATGTATGAAAACTATTTGACATCCCTTTTCGGTTAATCTTATTGGAAGTGCACTTCTTTAAAAATTGAAAATTGACTTTTTTTTCCCCAGACAACTGTTGCTGTGTTGTCATTTCAGGAAGACAATGTACAAGTTGTGAACCCACAATTTGCGCAATGAAAAAGTTTGTGAATAAAAACTTGCTTATTGGGCTTCTGTCATGAACTGAAACAACAATGAATCACCAAAGAAAAGAAACTTTACAACAGCAACTTAACGACAGCAAAATATCCAAAATTGTGGCAACTTTTGATGCTGAAATACATGTAGCCCCGGTTTCAGCCTGAAATGACATGACACATTTGCTCATGAATATGCATCAGCATAAAAACCAAAAAAAGGCACCAAATACTCTTAAAAATGGCAAAATGAAAATTAATAAATAAGGTTAAATAAGACACAAAGGTGCATTTACAAGGACTGCATTAAAACATTACATTACATGAGCCCTGTAAAAGACTCTTTGCAGTGTTTTTTTTTTACCATCACAAACTGAAATGGAGACACGACCCAAAAAATGATGTGGGAGTCATTTTTCTTTTGGAGACTGAGGTTTTTCAAATTTGTGATCCTAAAAAATTATGTTTAAAATATACTGTGGAGGTGAAACAGTTCAAGTACTACATGACCCAAATCTTGAACAGGCATTTTCTCGGTTTTCATCACTGTGAACAGTTTCCCACAAGAGTCGGTTTTTCGTTTCTTTGGGAGAACACCTCAGACATTTGGCCTCTTGATTTTCACCTGTTCCTGTAGACGTCCTATCTGTCTGGTGAGTTTGAGCTGCTGTAGTCTGGTATCCTGCATCTTGCCGTGCCATTCAGCCACCTTGACTGCCCCCTTGCCATCCTGCAGCGTCTGCATCAACTCCTGCAGGCCGTGGTGCTTCAGCTCCAACTCCGCAAGTTGGTCCGAGACCTTCTCTCTCTCGTACTTGAGCTGCGTAAAGAGGCAAAACCAACTGATCTCAACAGACCGATTTATACAATGCCTGAATACGTCCCCATCATCTGAGTGGTGGGTCGTTGATCACATGATTGAATTATTCATCCCAACCCACGGCCGGCTGCACATCCAAAAAGTTCTATTCCACAGTAAATAGAAGTTCCACTGCACAGTCACACGATTGGTTGGCTCTGACCAATCAGATGACGAGGATTTATTCAGGCGTTGCATAAAACAAATAATGAATGTTTAACATTCATGCAATGGAAAGAATAATTTCATGAGGTGCAGATGGAATGTTCCATTACATTTATTCCATTTGTCGCCTCATGGAATTATTCTTACCATTGCACTCATAAACATTTATTCAATAAATATACAACACACAGCAGCACCTTCCAAAAAGTATAAAACAGAAGAAAAAAAATATATATATATAGGGAAATAAAAAACACTCTGGAGAAATTTACTCATTGCTATTAAAATTATCTACAGCTCTAGAAAATAGCTAACATAACCATACACATAAATCATCGATACCACACCTCTCCATTTTTATTATTTATTTTCTCCTTACCACTTTGACTTGACTTTGCATTTGTTCTTTGTCAGTCTTGAGCTGCAGCATGGCTTTGGAGAATTTCTCCTGATCGCCGAGCGGTACAGCCCCGCTGAACTGACGTCGCAACTCCTACACAGAGGAAAAGAAGATCATAAAATAGCTTAACCCGAGCTGTTAAGACTTTTTAGCCTTGAGCCTTGGGCATCTTTTGATACCAAAAACAGAAAAATTTTCGGGCGCTATGCGCCGTGAAAACTCAACTTTCCCATATATGTCGTGTACACAGACCACAATTACCATTCGTACATATGAATAATTAATTAGCCATAATTCCAAAACCCTTTGACCTATAGTCATGAAATTTCTTGGGTATGGTCATGATGAGTTGCTCTATGCATGTACCGAGTTTCAAAAATTTTCGTCACTCGATGGCCGAAAACTTGGGGGGGGGGCGGAATCCCCCTTCCTTCGTGCAAGCTGTCATTTTTTTTTTTTTTTCACTTTCTTGAGAAAGACGCTTTCTGCTTGATGGATTCGTATTTTGGGAGATTCCAAGATTATAGTTACTGATTCAGAAATCCTCTAAACCTCAAATATGATCAGTTCCACCCTGAAATGACTTCATATGCCCTTTGTGCGAAAACAACTTCCGTAAATTTATCCAAGTTTCGTGAGAGCAGCTATATAACGGCAACAACTGACAACTTTCTCAGGAGAAAAAAAATTGAATTTGACGAGGAGCAGAGACAGACTCTACTGCACAATGAACATGATTTTATTTTGACCTGGCCACCGTGGCCCGTTTACCTGAATAGTTCTTTTGAGATGTCTTGCCTTGTTGCGTGCATCCACCTGACAATGATAGAGACTCTGTGCTCGCTCGTCCAGCTGTCGCTCTAGACGAAGCCTTCTAGCTTCTAGCTTCTTGAGCTTGGCGTTGGCGGCTTCCAGCTTGCGGACGGCCGTGCCTTCGCTGATCTGGAGAGCCACGATGTGGTGGTGGAGCTTACCTGGATTGGGTGCATTGTGGGATCAAATGGCATAACTAAGAAAAGAATCTCACATTTTATACGCTGCCAAAGTGTGACGTCACTACCTTCTCAGGTCAGGTTCACTTACTGCACAAGGGTTTCTGTGTATTCCCTGAAAACACACTTCACGTACGTTTAACACACACTCACAGTGAGCAATTGTACGACCTAAATTTATAGCATACTCTCACAAACTAGTACTTGAAAATGGTCAAGTGCTTTGCAGCTGATTGTCACCACAAAAGTGAAAACAAAGGTTGTAATTCTCTATTTTTGAGGAGACTCAAGCTGATTATAAAAATTGGGTTTCCATGAACGTAGTGAAACACCATGTTCATGTGGGTGTGCTGGTGCTAATACCAATGATGGAATTTGGGGAATTGCAATTCTGAAGCCTCTGAATTGTGAGGACTTGTGAAGACTTTGAGGACTTGTGAGGACCTGTGATGACCTGTGAAGACCTGTGAAGACTCTGAGCACTTTAGAAGACAAGTGCGGACTTGTGATGACTTGTGTTGGACTTATGATGACTTGTGATGGACTTGAGGACTTTGAAGACTTGTGAGGACTTGCGATACACTTGTGAGCACTTTGAGGACTTGTGATAGACTTCTGAAGACTTGTGAAGACTTGGAATTGTAAAGACTTTGAGGACTTGTGAGGACTTGTGGGGACTTGCGAGGATCTGTGATAGACTTGTGAAGACTCTGAGAACTTGGGATATACTCCCGATGACCTTGAGATTTTTGAAGACTTGTGAAGACTTGTGAAGACTTTGAGGACTTGTTAGGACTTTTGAGGACTTGTGAGGACTTTAAGGACTTTGAGGACTTGTGAGGATTTGTGATAGACTTGTGAAGACTTTGAGGACTTGGGATATACTTGTGAGGACCTTGAGGACTTGTGATAGACTTTGAAGACTTGTGAAGACTTTGAGGACTTGAGGACTTTGAGGACTTGAGGACTTTGAGGTCTGGTGAGGACTTTCAGGACTTGTGAGGACTTTGAGGACTTGTGGGGGCTTGTGAGGATTTTGAGGACTTGTGAGGAATTGTGAACACTTTGACGACTTTTGAGGACTTGTGATGGACAACATTTCTGTTAGGGAGACGATTCCTACCTATGATTGCCTTCTCGTTACTCTGGGTTTGAATGTCGATGAGCTGTTGCCGTAGTGACAGGACCTCTTTCTCCCGAGAGATCTGCCTGGATTCCAGGGCCTTGGTCTGAAAGGACGCAACATCTACAATCTCCTAAAATAATTGGCAAAGGAAAAGTAAAAAGAAAATTTGTGAGAACGGACCCTTTCTGCCTGACAATCAAACAGTGCGCAAACCAAAGAGTTCACAACAATGTTCAGGTGACCACAATAGCTCAGTCAAACTTGGCCCAAAGCACTGTGAGGAATGTACACAAGCCAAGGGTGGGCAGAGCCTATGGTCAAATCTGGAAAGGCCCGTTCCCATTTCTATTCAAAATTCAAATCTTTTTCTCTTTCCCACTATTTTACCCATTAAACATTACTGACAAACCGACTAGTTTGCCTGCTAAGCTGTGAAAATCCAGTTTCAATATCCGTACAAACATTTAATCAACTTTCCAGAGTACTTGTTCTGATCACATTTTACCCATCCAAAAGACGAGCGGATAGGTCACTAGAGGCAACAATTTGGGCGAGAGACCTACCTTGAGTTTTTCGTTCTCTAGACGCAGCGTGGCTTCTGATCTCTCCAGCTCACCAATCCGTCTCTTGTCCAGGTCACTGGCTGCCTTGGTAATGCACGTAGTCAGCTCATCTCGCAATTCTCTCTCTATCTTCTGTGCTTCCAGATTCAGTCTTGTAAGCTATCAAAAAATAAAGAGAAAAAAACAATGAATATAATATAAGTTTTATAAAAAAATACAATATGGTACGAGGGTCCTAAGACCGAGTTCACTAAACACATCTTAAGCAAGACGCATCAAAACTACTAATTTGATGGCTGTTTCATGTTTGTTTTTACTGCTTGACGAACCAGTCGTTGAAAAGAAACACACAATGTACTTTGAAAATGTAATAGCTAATTATTCAAATAGAAAACGAGTATATAAAAGTTCTAATGTAATGTTATTTTCATGAGATGTGGTAAAAATATTAAAGAAAGAAAGAATGAATGAATGAATTAAAAACCAACTTCCCGCGCATGTGCACTGGACACGAACTTTCGTCAGAGAAATTACCCTACTCAATCAATTTCACACGCAAGGTAGTTCTACACAAGATACGAAAGAGACATTCTTTTTCCCCGTTTCATCACTCTATTTTAAAAAGTCAACTAGGTGTTAAAACTACCCACGTATCAGAAATCTTTTCAAATCTGTTTCTACAGCGGTTTCTTTCTCGAAACTATAACTCTAGGACGACACTCGGCATTATGGAGATGACCCTCAGGCCGATTTCAACTTAAAACGAGTTCAGCCACCGTGCCACAGAAGTTAGGACGCATCTTAAGTTTGGTGAAATCCATCCTAGGACAAGTTGCGACTTATAAAGACAAGTTAACCTTCTTGAGACGAGTCTTTATAGCATTATGTGAAATTGGGCCCCAGGTCAGGCAAGTCCACGCAAACTCCTTTCCCTTCTAACCTCTGCAAATTTCTGTTCCAGCTCCAGGTTCCTGTTCTCCATCTCCGTCAGGGTCTTGCGTAGCTGGTCCTGCATCCTGACGGCATGCTCGGCACGTTGGCGCTCATTCAGTTCCTTCATCTCCATGGTCGTCAAGCGTTTGGCCAATGACAGATGATCGCTAGTTTGCACTGTAGATTTCACACCTGTGCCCCCTGTTTGACAAGTAACACAACACAACCATCATTTGCACGTTGCTATTAGCGCACAGGCATAAGTAACATTACATCATCCACTGGTTGACTATAAATGGCCCGAACTAGCTCTAAATTTACATCCAGACAACTTCCAGCTACCTCCAATCTTTCCTAGTTCCTCCACAGCCTGCTCCAGTGTGTGTAGTTTCTCCTTCTCCGTGGCTAGTTCTCGCTTCATAGTGTCAATGTCGGTCTCCAGTCGCTTGTTTTCGGACTGCAAATGACAAATGCTAAGTGTTCTAAAAAATGCAACATATCACAAACTCTTCACCTAAATTGCAACAGCTAGATGAAGTGTTGGAAATAATCCTAGCTCCCATGTTGGTATTTTACTTTGCACCAGTGTAGTAACTTTTATGTAGAAGTATGAACTGAGGGACTTTCTAAAAGCATGAAATCCTCTCTTTTTGAAAATGTCAATCATTTTGTGTTATTCAAAACTGAGGTAGAAAACCGTAAACTATCTATTTGTAAAATAAAAGTCAAAACACTCAATGACGTGTTTTTTTTTCAAGCGTTTGCTGTACTACAAATTCAAGATATACAACTTGTTGGGGTCTTGTATGGCACCCTCTAGTATAAGGCAGAAATTTGTATCCACAAATCAGTGACTGGGATATTGGAGGAATGCGGCAACTCGAAAAAGTCTGTCACAAGTAAAAGAGCAACTCATTTACTTCAAACATAAAGCTGTGAGTGTCTTGTATCAACCCTTACAACCTGTTCAATAACAGACTCTGCAATGATTCGTTGGTCAAACAGGTCAGTTTCAGTTGCTAAGCCACAACTTACGCCACCTAGTCGCTGACTTGCGTAATAAGAAACTTTCGTGAAATCATCATGGCTGAAATGTAGCACAGCTTGAAATGTTGCGCAACTTACGCAATAAATTGTAGCGCAAGTGGACTTACGCCATCGCGCAAAGTTCCGTGAAATCGGCTGCAGATGGTTCATGTTACTAGGGCTGGTGCTCGGCTAAGAAATTCTGAGTCAAAGGTTCAACTTATTCTAAAGGGGCTTGCACATGTTATTTACCTATGTTTGAATGAGGAACTTGTGCAATATGAAAAAAAAAATTACGCAGAAACTTCATTAACGAGTAATAAAACAATTATTAAAGCTATAGTCCATCATTTGCAGCCATCCGAAAAAGTAACTGGCGTATTATTTTTGAAAAACATACTTGGTTGAAAGATAGTAAGTCGACTAAACTCCCTGTGAAATTAATCTTTCTGGTAAGCTATCATTTTGAAGTAATCAACGAAAGAAGGCCTTTCCAAAAATTTAAATTAGTAGTTTGTTTTGTTATTCGGCGCAGCGCGCGCAAGCATTTGCACGACGCACAGGCGCGCGCGGTAGCTATAATTCGTCGGATCAGTGCGCGACATCGCGTATAGCTGCAATTCAAAACAATTCCAAATGTGATTCAGCAACTTTTGATTTGAAATTGAGATCCCAGAATGCTGTTTTTCTCAGACTATACAGCTGAAGCTGAGCTGAAACTTCATCAGGTTAGTTGTTCAGTGTCCTTCAATAGATTTTGAACACTTTTGTTGCTTTAAACGAACAAAATGCACAAATTACAAATGATGGACTATATCTTTAAGCAAAAAGTAAAAATTGATTGCAAACCAACCTCCAGCTGGTCAACGTGTGTGTTCCTGGCCACTAGCTGGTTGTCCGTCTGTAGCAGGTCCCGATACTTGGCAGCCAGCTCGTTGTACTGCCTGTTGGAAGACTCTAGCTCACTGGCTGGGACACTTTCATCCAATGCTCGCTGGAGAGCAGCGATCTTGAATTGAGATGCTTCCTGGATGCATCAGAATTATATTATATTAAGCTGTGGAAAACTTCTGTGAGTCACAGGAGTTGGTTCGCAGTATTCAACAGCCATTTGATTAATTAAAACTGTCTTGAAAAATGATCAATTCGTAGATACCAACAAAAATAAAGAAAAATTACAGCCTTGTGGTAGAGTTCATATCACCCACTTTTTTACATTTTCGGAATTCTAATACAGTTACAGTGTGTTTTGGATAGTTTGAGGAGAAAACAGCAGGATGCTTTAGGAACATTGTGGACACATATGTTAAATATATACATGTACAGTTACATACTTTGTGTCTTTGGAGATACCCCAGTCGCTCTGTGATGGCCGTTTCCATCTGAACCATCTCGTTGCGAAGTTTGTTGACTTCCTGGCAAGCAAAATAAAACAAATGTAAGCCCAAAAAAATATAGATTATTTGGAAAGACGAAGATTCTTGTTCTTCAAGCGATATCGAAACATGGATTAAATCATAACATGGATAACAGAAATCCACCAAGATATTTCAGACGAGGCTTCGCCTCGCCCGCTACGTGAGGGAGGCGGCTTTGCTGCCTGCCCCCCGCTTAGCGGTCGAGCGACGCCCTTGGGTCCATTGAATAAACTGTATGTGAATAAACTGTATGTTAGCTATATGTAGGATGTGATCAAGTAGTGAGGTACTTTTAATATCACATTTACTCCTTGACTCTTAGTAAAATAAAACTTGAAGACAGAAGGCAGGGTCTAATAATTAAGATTTGAGTAAGGGAATAAATGTGTGCTCCGGAGGTTTTTATCACTCTCTTTAAGACTGCTCAGAGTCTGGGTGCTGATAATTACCCGAGCCTGAGGCGAGGGTAATTATCAGCACCCAGACTCTAAGCGGTCTTAAACAGAGTGATAAATACCGACCGAACACATATTTATTCCCATTCATAAATACCTTTTCGGTAAAAAAAATCAAATAATTCGTTCAAAAAATCCCGATTTTGTTCAACAAGTTCACTTCATGCTTTTTGAAACATCCCTCTAGCAAAATAATGGAGTGTTCAGCTGGCGAGTAAGATGTAAACAACCCTTTTATGAAGATTGACGCACACGTAGCATGTTCTGCGCAATGTTGCGCAGAACGCACCTGGGGCGTTGCGTTTTGAATTTAGAACTATAAAATTCTGACTCGCTGGTAGTGTTGCGCATGCCTACATGAGGATTGTGATCGTTCAACCAATAAAACGGTAAGAGGCACTGGATTTTTAGGAGTCCACATTTTATTGTGACACTGGAAAAGTGTTTAAGACCAGCTAGCCATGTCTTTATCATCCGTTTAAGACCGGCCACGTGACGGGCTCTCGACCAATAGGAATAGCTAAACTGTCTGAGGTATTTATGAATCGTGTTTAAAACCTTTGGAATATTTGTAAACATAATATTTTTGTGGAACGGAAGTCCTCGGTCCTCTGCATGACAAAGTCACTAGCTGAATAACTGACTGACTGATGGACTGAGTCACAGAGTATAGACAAATGCGAGCACACTAACAATTCTATCACGAAGGCCCCCTTCAATGGTGAAAGCATTGTGCTAACTATTGTTCAGATAATCCATCATGAGGCAGTTGCTTTGTACAATAGCAAACACAATGGTTTCTCCATTGAAGGGGGCCTCGTGAGTTTACAGTGATCCAAGCCTGGATTCGTCTATAAAAAATGTCCTAAACTGATTCGAGGCAAGTCTAGTCTCGTTTCCATTTCAATATTCAAAAGGTCTCACGCATATCCCCACAAGCCCCCAAACTCATGCCTACCTTTCTCAGAGTGCCCTCCACTTCCTGACTGGCCGTGAATCGTCTAGTGAGGGCTCTCTCGTTGACTCTCAGCACGGTGATCTTGCGTGCAGCCTCTGCGATCCGGCGCTGTGGCTCATCTCCGCTCTGCTGCAGTGTGTCCAGTAGTCTCTGAAAAGAAAAAGACAATTATTTTTTCATTTATTTTGCTATTTATTACGCAAATTCCAATAGTCAGAAAATTGCAAGGGCATAAAAGACATAACATTCAAGTTCAATTGATAGAGAATAATAAATATACAAAAAAAAATACAAAACACTCTGATTGTTATTTTTTTACAGTGAAAAAAATGAAACAAAAAAACAATTTTTTACAGAATTAGAATCATCAATTATAAATGATATTACAAAAGGCCCCAGTGAACATAACAATAAAAAAGACAAGGAGTAATTTCATGGAACTGGCCACCAGTCTAGTAGTTACAGCTTTATTTTATCCCATCCCTTAAAATAACGCCATTATTTCTGTCACCAAATCATTCGGACATCTTACATCAAATTCTGCACTTTGGCCTCCTGCTGCTCTATCTGCTCTAGCAGCTTCTGTTCTTTCTGGTAAGCAGCTTATAGTTGGCTTTATCCCATCCCTTTAAATAACGTCATCATTCCGTCACCACTCATTCCCACATCTTACACTGAATTCCTCAAGTTGCCCTCCTGCTGCTCTATCTGCTCTAGCAGCTTCTGTTCTTTCTGGTCAGCAGCTTATGCCTGGCTTCATCCCATCCCTTAAAATAACACCACCATCTCTGTCACCAATCATTCCCACATCTTACACTGAATTCCTACACTTTGGCCTCCTGCTGCTCTATCTGGTCTAGCAGCTTCTGTTCTTTCTGGTCAGCGGTTTATGCTTGGCTTTATCCCATGCCTTAAAATAATGTCATCATCTCTGTCACCAATCATTCCCACATCTTATACTGAATTCCTGCACTTTGGATCCTGCTGCTCTATGTGCTCTAGCAGCTTCTGTTCTGTCCGGTCAGCAGCTTGTGTTTGGCCTTACCCCATCCATTAAAATGACGTCACCATCTCTGTCACCAATCATTCCCACATCTTACATTGAATTCCTGCACTTTGGCCTCCTGCTGCTCTATCTGGTCTATCTGCTCTAACAGCTGGTCTATCTGGTCTACTGTTCTTTCTGATCAGCAGCTTATGCTTGGCTTTACCCCATCCCTTAAAATAATGCCATCATTTCTGTCACCAATCTTTCCCACATCTTACATTGAATTCCTGCACCTTGGCCTCCTGCTGATCTATCTGGTCTAGCAGCTTCTGCTTGGCTTTGTCCCATCCCTCGGACTGGCTTTCCCATTCTTCCTGCTTCTCCTTGTATTCTTGGTACAGCAGCCCCTGCTGGTGTCGCAGCACAGCGAACCGACGACGGTAGACAACAAGAGACGTCTCACATCGGTTCACCTGGTCCTCCTTGTTTGACAGTTCCTGGATTTTGAATACATTTTACACCATGTAGAAAATCATATGAATATGCCTCATTCATATTCATGATCGAGAGCCGAATTCTCACTGGTCCATTCACCATCATGTGCCAGCCGCTATTTTTGCAGTTTACCAAGCGCGCACAGGGTATTCATGCACAGGCTAAATAGGCATGCGTAGTAGACTATCGCACTGGCTCCCCATGCAATAGTCCACTATGCATGCGCTTTACGAAGCAATCATGGAACTATCGCACGATGTAGTAAGCACGCGCGAACCGATCGCCCTAGCTAAAGATGAAAAGATGGCGGTGCACGTAAATGTTAATCAGTGATTTCCCGAGCTCAATGATGCCGAACTGGAGAATATTGTGGACAACAGATGCCTCCTCTACTAAAAAAGTTGTCCACTATGCGGTAGAAACTCTTCGGAGTTACTGTATTGCAAAAGAACTGAACTTTTCTGAGGTTGAGCAATATTCTTCTGGTGAGCTGGAAAAGTTTCTCTAAATATTTTATGCCGAGATGCGTACCCAACAGTAAAAATTTGGCAACTGAATATGTATGAGGTATAGAACAACAAATATAACATGGTTTATTCTAGTTGGTTCACTCCAAAAACTAGTTTGTCAACTTCCAATACCGAGGGGAGCTAATATCGACTATCCACCCTCAAACCATGTTATATTTGTATAACTCTATTAAATGTAGCTTGACAGAGAACTGGCCACAAACATAGCACCATGACATTTTATTTGATGATTTTTGCTAATAAAGGGTGCATTCTAGTCATGTGAAAAACTTTGCGTTCGTCAGCTAGGCCCTGCAAATGTGCCAACAGCCAACTGAATGATAATGTTATGATAACTGTTGTCAAAAATGGCGGCGTCCAGTATGCCAATTCTACAAGTGTTGCTGTTTGGATGGTAGCTTTAAAATTCTCAAAAAATTCATTGCACACGGAAGTGATGATGATGTAGAAAATGAAAAATTTCAGCCCAGACAGGCTCATTCACGTTCACTGAATGTGTCGGCCATTTTGGCTATCATTGTGAATGACTCCGGGAAGATTAGCCTTGGTTGCTAACACTGCCAACGTTTGTTGCAAACAGTCGGTCCCACTAGCGCAAACGTAGCCAACCTTGGCAGACATTATCATTGTTGTAAGTGGAATGCACCCCTCAATACATCACCTGGTTTCTGGTTAATGGTCGTGAAAACGCACCCCAGACTTTTGAGGAGCTTGAGACCCCATGATGTAGGATCAGTATGCATACTGGAAGGAATGAGCAAACAGCCAATCAGACAGACCAACAGACAGACCTACCTGCAGTGCATGTATGAGTTGCTCATTCAGAGAACTGATGACCTCAGCACTGGATACAGCCATGCCTTGTGGGAGCTGCATGTGGTGCAGGGTGATGGCACCCTGACCCGCGTCCCTTAATGCCTGCAGGTCTTGCTCTAGTCTGGTGACCTGACCAAAAAAAAGAAAAAGACTTCAGCAGGCATGCAACTTGGAAAAAACAAAAAACAAGGAAACTCCAATCTTTACAAGACTTTGTACAGTGTTTTTTTCGATTTTCAATGGTATAAGTGTAAAGTGAAAAACGAGGAAATCAGCTGATCCGAGGAAAAGTTGCATGCCTGCTTCAGGAGCAACAAAAACTGACTCTGCCTAACATTCCAAGGTTTAAATCTGTGCCAGAAACAATTCCAAAGACTTTCCTACACCTCAAAATTGAACATTTTCAAATAACTAATGCCAAAATCATCACACTGATTGTGGGGTTGGAACCAAGTCTTCCCCCTTGAGAAGTGAATTATAGTCTGGCAGCCAACAATTCGAATTTTGGGAAGAAATCATTCAATAACTAAACCGTTAGTGGATTTTTTTGTTCAATGTCTCATTCAAAAGTGAATAACTTTTGTATTGTTAGGAAAAAAAACAGTTGAGAAAAACGAGTCTATTTTTCGAGGTGAAACTCGAAAATAGCGCTGGAAACGCAACTTTAACTCTTTCAGTGCCAAAGTCGTACATGTACGAGGTATATTTGTTAGTTCGAAGTGCCAACCTCGTACATGTACCAGGTAATGTTTGTACTTAAAATCGCCAAACCTCGTACATGTACGAGGTAGAGTAAGCATGTTATCACAAGGGGGCGCTCTCGCTCTTTCTAATAATGTCATTTGCATTCAGGTATGACATGTATTTATTTGTTTTATTCGAGTTCTTGCGAGAGGGCGCAGCACTGACACTCATATTTTCTGCAAAAAGTGCAGAATTCCCCTGTGTGCAGGACAGTGTTTCAGGGTGTAGCACTATGTACGTGACTACTATTGACTTTCCAATGTACCAATGACATACCAGAGAGCAACAACAACAAATTTAGTGAGTAAAACTTGTTTACTTTTTTTTTTACAGAATTTTGAACAATTACAAAAAAAGCTCGAAGTTGCGCACTTTAGGGTTAAACTTTTCAAATTTCGCGGGCACTGAAAGAGTTAATATGCACACACCTTGTTGTTGGCCCTGTCCAAGTTGATGCCAGCCTTCTCACACTCGTTCCTGGTCTGGCGAAGCTCACGTCGCAGTTCTTCGTTCCGTCCCGTCAGCTGATCCAGCTGGGCTTTCATGACCACCCGGGCCTCGTAGGTACCACCCGCAGTTTTGGCCTCCAGAAGCTGCCAAAACAGAAATGAAAAGCAACGATAAAATCCATGTCACAACTAAAATGCTTCACAATGATGATCCAATGTTCATAGTCAAGTCCAGTCACAAGTACTTGTACTCATGTACGTGTTCTACATAACCCCCGAGGACCGACACACAAAGGGAGAACAACAGATCCTTTCAGTCCTCGGGCGTTGGGTCTTTTGTTCAAAACGGTCCTCTGTAGTAGGTTCCTGTGCTTAGTCTATGAGAGAGTGTTATATTGCAGGTACAAAGGGAAACACAAAGCATTGTCCTCGGGAGTATAGTAAAACAAGAGTGTGTGCTCGTACTCATACTCATGAAAATATTCTCCCCCTGGGATTTTAAATGTTTCAAAGGGAAATGCATGAAAAGAACCCATTTTCTACTCTTTCGTAGGCTTTCGCAAATGTTTAAAAGCCCTATTGTAAATTGCAGGCCCGTCAAAATGTGTTCTTACTCATGATAAAGTACTTTTACTCATACTCGAGCAAATGTACCTGTACTCAAACTCTTGGAAATGTACTTGTACTCGTTCTCATACTGATGGACAAAATGGCCTTGTACTTGTACTCGTGTGAATATATACTCATACTTGTACTCATGGAAAACAAACTGCCTTGTTATTGTACTCATGGCAAGGTACTGTTTCTCATGGCAAAGTACACATACCCCTACTCATGAGAATGTACTCTTGGAATGTACTCTCTTACTCATGGGAAAATAAATTGCCTTTTAACTCAACTCATACTCATACTCCTACTCGCGAAAATGTACTCGTACTCATATTCCGAAAATACTCATATTCCGCGGCCTATATTCCGAAAAGTACAGTACTCATACTCGTACTAATGGCAAAGTACTTATACTCATACTCATGGCAAAGTACTCATACCTGTACTCATGGCAAAGTACTCATACTCATACTCATGGCAAAGTACCCATACTCGTACTCATATTCATACTCATGGCAAGGTACGCTTACTCGTACTCATGGCAAAGAACTCATACTGGTACTCATGGCAAAGTACTCGACTACAACACTGCTTTCTGGCCCTTACCGCAACCAGCCTCTCTAGGTTAGGTATCTGCAGCTCCCCGCCGGTGCCGCTGCCCGCCTGTTCCTTCAGAGCCTGCAGTATCTCCTTCATGCTCAGCTCTAGCTGTTTGTTCTCTTCCGTCAGTTGACGATTGCGAGCCTCCAACTCAGCCGCCTGGTTGCGATTGCGTTCCGTCGCTTGGTCAGCTTTGGTCAGTTCCTGCTCAAGCTGCTTTGCCTGAAGATTAAAATAGTTATCATTTTATTGTCTTCATTATTTTAAAATTAGTTCTCCTGACTCGTTAGGTCAATGAAAATATTATTTTAACTTTTATAGATGTTATCAATTATCAGAGTGCATCCAATGTTCTGTAAATACAAAAATAATTCGAGACATTGGTAAATCTTGGCAAAATAAAACTGCAGGAGATCACAGCAGTACAAGCTTTCATTTTCAACCCTAAAAAGACTGAGGTTTTTCCCATTTTGCAGCTGAAAGAGTTGGGGGGATTTCAGCCCCCTTCCGATCTCGGAAGTGCAACAACATTTTTTGTGTGCAAAATTTGGTGTGCCAGTAGAGAGATTCATAGCTGACACATCTGCAAAGTTTTAGGTGAATTAAACAAAGAATTATGTAATTACGGTAATTATGATATTCCATGATTTCTCATATCCATGATTTCTCCTGGCATGAGTGCGTTTTTTTTTCGTTCTGAGTCAATGAACATAAATGTTTTGCATCCAAAATTTGACTTTGTGCACTAAACACTAACTCGGACTTTTTAAACAGTAATCCAAAAACATATATTTCTTTCTTGCTTCTGTTCATCTGAGCATTTTTCTATACTAGGTCATTGAGAAACAAGATTTTTTCATCAAAAAATTAGATTTGTTTTCATGAAGTCAAGCTTTTTTTTTTATATTGGAGTAAAAAACATCCATAAGAGATTAGTCAACAATTTGAGTGGCAATGATATCTAAAAGAAAATGTAAAGGGGGGGGAGAGGGCGAATTCAGCATCTCCTAGGCTTTTAAGACTTAAAATTTAGGTGCCATTAAAACATATTTGAGTAAATTTGTCAACAGATTTTGATTTTATTTTGTTTAAAACACGCAAAGGTCACATCCTACCTTGACCCTGAGTGAGTCTCCTAGGCCCGCCTGCTGCTCTGCTGTCACAAACTGCGACACCGTGTCCCCTAGACCCATCCCACCAGATTTCTTCTTGGTCTTCAGACCTTCCGTGAACTCCTCGATGGCGACCATGTCGTCTGCCGAAAGGCCTAGCGCCACGGCCCTAAATGGTAATAAAAAAAAGAAGAAATGGCATTTAATCACCCACAGATTTGCTATCTTGATTAACCGAGAGTGAGTCACATGGCATTCGCTATTATTAACCCTCCTATGCAAACATACATTCTGTGCCAAGTAGTCCTTTCAATATAAAATCAAAGAAGTGGCTGTTTATAACAGTTAAGAGCTCCCAGCCTACACTGCTAAAAAAACTGAAACTACTCTTATCCCCTTTCAAAATGTGTTTTCTGGATGTTTTAGACCAAATCCAGCACTTTTAATTTATATCACCCCGACGCAAAATTCCATCTTATAACACTTTTAATTTGTCACATTTTTTGAAAAAAAACCCTTAATTTAGGTTAAAACCTCAAAAGTGGCATCTCTGGTTATGCTTGACATTCAAAAAGGACTCAGCTGAAAAAAAATACAATAACACAGACTCGAACCAGCCAACCAGTCCCTCTGGCAAACTTGGAGGTCGAGTGGTAAGTTGTCTGCACTAGTAAGCAGGAGGTTGTGGGTTCGAGTCCAACCTCGAGTAACCTTGTGGATTTTCTTGCAGGCCATCTGACAGCGCTATTAAGTATTATGTGTACGAAATTATTTTACTGAATGCAAAACCCTAGATTTTAGTTTACAATCAAGAGAAGCGATGTACATACCTCTGAGCTCGCTGCTGGGCCAGAAGACGTACTTGCTTCTTCAGTTCCAACCTCTCCGCTTCAAGTCTCTCCAACTCCTGGCTCAACACCTGACCAAATAAATCAGCTCTTGTTTCATTTTCTGTTCCAAGTTTTAAAAGTTGATGAGAATATTTTGTTAGAAAAAGAATATTTGGGAATCTAAATACCGTATATTGGTGACAAACAAAATTTAAAAAGTAGGCAGGCTGCATATCAACCAATTGGAGCACACTATTAACCCTAATCTCCCAAACTCCATCAAAATCCATCCCCCCATTTTGGTGGATTTTAGGGGACTTGGTCCTGCAGGCCTGGTTTGACTAATATTGATGGAGTATGATGGACTTGGGCATGCAGGCCGAAAGCAAAGCATGCTTTGGAAGCAGTGTGATTGATAGATTTTGGCGGACTTTGTCCAGTACTTAGTAAAAGACAGTAGGGAGTTAGGGTTAATTCTATCACCGTGGCCCCCTTCAATGGCGCCCGCATTGAGCTAGCTATTGTTCAGGGCCCAATTTCATGGCTCTGCTAACCACAGAATGCCACGCTTACGATCGCCATTCTGTGCTAACCGCGCTAGCAGAATCATTTTGTGCTAACCCAGTAAGCGCAGAATCCTTAGTTACGATATGTACGCATGTATTTATCGTCATAACACACTGGTGCCTTATGTTCCTCCTTCTGTTTTGTAATTTATTAGATGGTGTTGAAATATCAGTGACTCAAATTGACTCGAGCATAAATTTGACTCGACTCGACTCGACTCAACACTGTGAATCGACTCGACTCGACCTTCTTGGCCTAATGACTCGACTCACTTCCTTAAAATGACTCGACTCGACTTAAGTCACACAATTCAGTGACTTGTTACAACTCTGCGAAATAGTCAATAATGGATACAACTAGCTAAACACGTTTGGACACCAATACTGAAATTTGTATCCTTGTGGAGACATTTCTTTGTTCTCGTGTAGTAAAGTTTTCGAGTTTGAAAGTGAAGTTTCAAAATGCTCTTATTTTAACCAGAATTAATTTCCTTTGCTGAAATTTGGACTTAATATCCCTTTTCTAAAACTCTTTCATTTGCGACAGATCAACCCACCTTGAAAATTCCTAGTTTTTGAGTAAAATCCATATATCTATTTCGTAAAAACCTTGTGGAGACGTATTCATCTATAGAAAATGCCCTGTGGAGACGTATACAATCTTTTGTTCCCTATTGTGTGCATGTCTCCAGAGGGCACGGTGTATCAGATCATGTATCCATTCAGTTGCGAAAACCTTTCTGAAAACCCTTCAACTTAGCTTCTCCTGTTTGTTTTATTTGCCAAAATGCAACATATTTACCCTCTAGCAACCTACCTGATTGAGCGCCCTGTCCTGCTGATGCTGCAAGGCTTTGGACAGTCTGACCTGACCTAGGTCAAGCGGTTCCTTAGGGTCAAGCCCCAGCCTCCCCCGTAGCTCCTCATTCTCCTCCAAGAGGTCATTCAGGGTCATCTCCAGCTTGTTGACGCTCTGCGTCAGCTGCTCGATGTTCCTGTGTAGTGACGGCAGAGCACAAAATTCTTTAGGTTGACAGGTATTTACGTTCTTATCAACATGTGTTTTAAGGTCCTTTTTTTTAGGCGAACAAAGAAGTTGACTGGAGTGGGGTTTGAACCTGAGACCTCTGGATTGCTGTTCCGGCACTCTACCAACTGAGCTACTGTAATTTGTAGATTGAGGAACTATTATTTGTATGTATATGTGATCACGTGCGTAGACTGCAAACAGATGAAACAATTTTTTAAAAATAAGAGGACCTACCGATCTCGAACTGTGATATTTTTCTTGCACTCCTTAATTTCCTGCACTGCTTCCACTAGACCGTATTCTCCCTAATAGAGACAGAAAAAAGAAACACACACAAAATGACAAATGTTAATCACTTTACTCTGGTTATTGATTACTATTTGATTACTCTTACTTGTCTATTACATTTGTCATATTTGTACAACTGAATGTGCTGAAAAAGTGGTAGAAAGAAACTTTTTGTTGTCCAGTTGTTTTTGGATGATTGTAAATGGTGCAAAGTGGAATTTGGGTACGACATAAATTTTACCAGTAAACCTGTAATAAAAACGAAGGCTGGTTCCTAGTCCCCACATCATCAACTCCGACCTCGAAAGTACAGACCAGTAGTGTCCAATGGGATAAATATGCATGGGGAGGAATTCCTTCAGGCGTATGCTAATGATTAATTATTATTCATAAATACCTAAGTCAGTTTACACATTCCTATTGGCCAAGAGCCCGTCACATGGCTGGTCTTAAACGGATGATAAAGACATGGCTAGCTGGTCTTAAACACTTTTCCAGTGTCACATGAAAGTTGGACTCCCATGAAATCTGGTGCCTTTAAACGTTTCATTGGTTGAACGTTCACATTCCTCACGTATGCATGCGCAATACTACCAGTGAAGCAGTATTTCATAGTCCGATATTCACACTACACCCGCCCAGCTGCGTTTTGCCCGACATCGCAATGTCCTTATAAGGTAACGAGTTGTGGAGGGGCATTCCATATTATAGTACAAGGTTTTTTTTGTAAAACATGAAGTAAAATTGTTGAACAAAATGGTTGGCAACGTCTAGTTTTTTTACTTGTTTTGATTTTTAGACTGAAAAGATTTGTTTTTTTTACCAAAAAGGTATTTATGAATGGGAATAAATATGTGTTCGGTCGGTATTAAACACTCTGTTTAAGACCGGTGAGAGTCTGGATGGGTGATAATTACCCTTGGCTTCGCCTTGGGTAATTATCACCCATCCAGACTCCCACCGGTCTTAAACAGAGTGTTATAATACCTCCCAAACACACATTTATTCCCTTTGGTATTCCCACAGTTCAACAAGCCTTTAGTGCTCTCTCTGTCTCTCGCGCATGGGACAGGGTGGGGAATGTTGGATCAGTAAGGTTTGAGGCTTTGCATGGTGGAGATACTTATGAATGAAAGCTTTGCAGAAACACCATAAGTGGCAAATGCAAAGTCGATGAAGTGTGAAGTTGCATCCTGTGTGGATGCCAAGTAGCTTGGAGCCTAGAGCTAGCTTGGTGTGCCCTTTGAAGAGTTGGATCATTCTGACCTCCTAGACTGCTGTATTTTTATTTCTTTTAAGATTTAATGCCTTGGGCTTGTGCAGAGGGAATCATACCCGTCATTTACATTTTTAGCAGGCACGGCACACATACACTGATCTCTATATAAAGACTGGATAGTGGATAAAGAGCCGCACAATGAATGAATTGACGCCATATTGGTGAGACCGGTGAGACCGGCTGGTGATCTACAAAGGACAAGTTGCCGTCTTGATAGGCATCATGATTACTTTTGTAACATTGCGGTTCACTTGACTTATATTTTGATGACCACCACTAGTGACCAAGGTTTACAATTTTTCTAACGTAGTGGTTTACTTTTTTAATGCCGCAGTTCACTTTTTTGGCGTTTTGGAAATAATAATCACTACGGAAATGTGTCCTTTTGAGAACATCATAATATGTGTACGTGACCAAAAGGCGCGTTAACTGTTGATACAACGCACGCTGTATATACGCAGAGAACGTTCGTATTATACGCGGCCATCTTCGTGAGACGTGGGGCGAATTGGTCAATATGCAAAGTCTACTGTGCGACTGGTGTATGGATATCCGCTATCCAGTCTTTATATAGAGAACAGTGCACACATAGCCCGAAATATGCATCTCCATGTTTGCTGTGACTAGTTTACGCCCACAATTAAGTGGTTTTTGCAAAGGGCGCAGTATTCAATATGCTCAACTGACATTTATTTATGCATGAGAGCATGAATGACTTCTCTAAAAATAGAACTTTGTTTGTACGTGCACACAAAAAGTTGCCCAATTAAAAGTTTTACATGCAAGATGGCTTCCAGGCCCCATATTTTATGGGAGCGGCATAAAATATGCCGGTAGCCGCTAACATATTTTTGCTAAGCAACTACTTTCTATGCTTAGTCACATCTTTAGACTGAACTCACAGCCTCATATTCCCGCATCCTTGACAGCGCGTCGTTGAGTTGCTTGTCTTTCTCTCTGGCGTCCGCCTCAGCCATCTGCATCCCGTCCTCGGCCCGCCTGCCGTCTCTCTCTTGCTCCTGGAGCGTGGCTCGCAGGTTGCGGATAGTGTTCTGCATCCGGACTGACGGTGCTGCATGGAAGAAAATAAATAAATCCTTTGAAAGAGTCTTTATCTCTTTCAGAGAGACCATAGCGGTCAGCACAGGGTTGCAGGCCAGTAAATACGCCCTACATTGCATACTCTGGCCAAATCATGATTTGCATTCCCTCTGCTATTAGAGCATCTTGTAGGCCATAAACTTGAGGGTTTGTAAAAAACAAGGGTGGACGCCAGGAACAGGATTGTGAGCTTGTATTTTTTGTGAAATTTTGATAAAAGTGGGCCCTAGATTGCTTTATTTTGCAATGGAGTGAAGGTGTGATCCTTCTATTAAACACGATTATTTATGAGATAATTTTTTTTAAATATCTCAAATGTGCTCTTTGGGAACTGGAATTGGCTACAACAGTAAGTCGATTCCTTACAGGAGTGGATTCAGATTCCAAGTTGGGAATCAATTCTGACTTGGGCCCTGTTTCGTAGAGCCGGTAAGCAGAAAACATTGATTAGCAGATAACATTCTAAGCAAAAAATGGCAGAGTACCAGCTACAAGCAATACATATATATATATATATATATACAGCATGACAGTTTAGCTGGTAACATATGTTTGCTAAGCAACTACTTTCTATGCTTAGCAAATTTTTGTCTTAGCATCCTTTATTACCTCCACCCTGTGCTGCATCCTTTCTGAGCTCTTCAAGCTGACTGGTCAGTTCGGCCATTTCGTCGGCCGATATCTCCAGCTGTTTCTTGAGCACTTCCAGCTGCAAATCCTTGTCTTGCAAAGCCTGGAATGCAAACGCAAAAAAATATTATACAAATATTGAGTGGCTCAGCGTGGAATGGGAGGAATATTATCGCAAGGTAAAATCTGGACTTTTCCATTTCACGAGGCGAAGCCGATTGAACTGGAAAAGTCCAGATTTTACCGAGCGATAATATTCCTCCCATTTCACAATTTAAAGCCACTCAATATTTGTTTCATATAACTGACATATGGATCCTTGTCATTTGATATATTTGAACTTTTATTTCAATACAAAACTGGAGGAAAATGTATTTCTCTCTTCCAAACCACCCCTTCACGAAAAAGTTTGAACCCAACGCTGTAGCGCTGGTTCTTTGGAACAACACTGAATGCGCACATCAGCATGCATTTGCACACAAATACCGCGTCATGGAACAAGGATGATCCTTACTGTTCAATAGTATTTCCCATTCCCCATGGGCGGATAGTACTTTTTGAGCCACGGCGTGAATGGGAGCAATAACGAATGTCACGTGATGTGAGTTCCACCAACCAAATGACAAGGAACTGTATGTCGGTTACATAAAGCTTAACGTTTTTAGTGAGAGTCTGAAGATTCAGAACACCGGCTGTTCCGTTTGCAGAGGAGAGATGCAACAGGCGGCTTTGTCTTGCCCAAGGACTCAAGCACCACAGTCCCAGGCTGGATTCGAACCCACAGCCTGCAGAAATTACCCAGAAGATCTCAGTTCAATGCATCACACCAAGAGGCCACAGCACTCCAAATCCACAGCAGGCCGTGTGATCGACTTGTGATGGACTGATGAGTCAATGGACCACTGAGGTTCAATGGTGTCCGACTCGTGTGTGATGGCAAATGATTTGAACCCTGATGGAGAACATGGTGCTTGTGTTCTTGGGCAAGACGCTTTACTACAATTGCCCCTTTCCACTCGAAAGTAAAGATTGGGTACCTGAGAGGGCTGAGACTAGATTACACTGCTGCAGAGTACTGATCTCGTGGCCAGACGAACAGGAGTGGTTATTGTGAAATGCTTTGGGGTATAAAGCTGTTCCATGCTCAAAATAGTACTCGCCTGGCGTACAAATTCTAGTGAAAATCACTCAGGGCTACTTAAACTTTTTTCAGTAACCTACCTGTTCAAATTTAGATCAAAATAATGCTTTCGGTATTAATAAATACAGGATTGCAATAAACTGAGTCATTGTGGGGTTTTGTTTGTGTTTTCCGGCTTGATAGCATGCGTGTGCATACACTCGCGATCGCCACACGAAAAGAGTAGACTGGTGGGCTGTAGTGAAGCTTAGCACAGAATAGAGCTCACGGCGGCACGGTGAGGTATCGCACAGGCAACACTGGTATTCTCATTCACATCGTTTTTTAACCTTCTAACAATAACTGGCTGCAGCTGTATTGTGCGTTATACGGAATCACTTAAGATGGCATCTGATACAAAGTCTATGCAGAGCCGCGCGTAAGCAGCACCCTCTGTTAGCTGTAAAACCCAAAATATATGTGATGCGATCAAGCTAAATGAGTCGTTTGTCGACCCTGGTCAATTTTTTTTTTTACTGATTTGAAAAGAGCACAATCTCAGCATAACTTCTGTGAAAACTGCATGCTGGTACCATCTTTAGTTCAAAAATTATGGAAGTCACAACACCAAGAGATGTGATGAAGTGATGTGATGAAGTGGCCCTATTTTGGACTGAATCTCCAATTGAAAGTTCCAAAGACAAACGACCCATGTAGCTTGATCGCATCACATATATGGTCCAGTAAAGCTCTTAATGGGCTAGTAGCATCTACAGTTAGCTAGCCTGGTGGGCTAGCCAAGGAAAAAGCAGCGCAAGGCCTGCTGTATAAACACCACATAATAACAATTACTGTTTTGTGCATACCTGTGAGAGAACTACAACCGAGGTTTTATCGGTGTCCATGTGAGCGGCAGTTAATTGCTCCTTCTGTTGTCGGATGACATCGTTCAGCTCTGCCATCTGCTCATCCTTATTGGCCAGCGCTTCCTGATCACATGTACAGACAGGAATAAACATTAACCCTAAGATTAACCCTAAGAGTAAAGATAAACTCCCAGATCCTCCAAATTCCACTGGTGGATTTTGGCAGATTTTGTAGGATTGAGGAAGGTAGAGCTAAGGAACTATTATTTTAAATGCAAATCGGTTCATCTTGAAAGTCAGGGTAATTTGGAATGTGCCTAGGCAGTGTTTAATTTTGGGGAATTCAAGAAGGCTCTGAGGCATAAAATATCTTTGGAATTTTAGGTTTAAGCGAGTTTTTTTGCCAAACAGGCAGAATTTATCTATTCCTGATTCAGTTTAATGCTCTTTGATAGGAAATGGATCTCCATACACATTATTTTTATAGAAAATCAGACAGATTATGCACACTAGTCACGTGAAAAACAAATTTCAATTTTACTCACCAAATTTGGAAAAAAAGGTCTTTCAGAAAAATAAATCAAGACGTTTTAACATTTCTAAGAAAGAAAACTTTGTGAACAAGTATAACACAACCATAACCTGTTAATATGATTCACACTTGGATCCTTGCGGTTTTAATTGTAATGTCTATAAAATTTCTAACATTATTACAAATTCTCTTGTTTTTCTTTCCATCTAAATTTCTGTTTTCAGTACAGGATGTTATAAGCAAGCTCTTTTATACCTCCTGCACTGAACGCGTTTTTTTGTGACTTCTACATTTCTGTACTTTTTGTTCTATGCAATATTTTCTCTGTCAATGGGCTTCGGGACTTACTTTCCATTCCTCCACTTTCTTGTTCAGGGCTTCCATGATTTCATCGTCAGCACCGGATTTTCCCCGCAGCTGATCTGTCAGATCTGCGATCTATTACAAGTTAGATAAACAGAAAAACAATCTTTTAATTTATCAACATTGTTTTGATAATCTGACCCCTTGATTGACTGATTGTTGGCTTATTTGGTTTACTGCTACATAAAGCATACAAATAATACAGTGTAGTAGAATTTGCCTTGATTCTTGATTGCTCCTGAGGTAAAGAATAGAACATTTACAATACTTCTTTAACACATTAAAACATGTAAAATACCAGAGATACGAAATACAAAAGACCATTACAAACATCAAAATGTATTACTTTTGTTGGACAGCACACAAACCATTACAGTTTGTTTCGTTTAGTTTCGTTGTTTGTTGTTTCAGGTGGTATTTTTTTCTTCAAATTATGTTTTTAGCAAACTGGGCTTAGCAAGGCACAACCTCTTTCATATGTTTTTGTACAGAGCCAAAAGTATAATTGTGAACATGTAAGAGTATAGTAAAACAGGCGAATGTAACTGTTTGTGCCTTGAAAAACGTGTGTCGTAAAGTTGCACAAATATATTTTCTACTCATGTATAATTTTGTGCACTAAGCAAAATCTGCAAGTCATAAATAAATCACTTCAGGATTGTTTCTGTGCCATAACATTTTTTGTGGCACTGATTAGAATATGCTCAGTATTCAAAACTATTGTTTGTTGCTGATTTTTTTTTCTTTCTTCTTTCTTGTTTCTAAGGCAAGGCACTTTGTCACTCACTGCTTCTCCCCACCCAAACGTAAATGGGTACCTGTGAGGGCAGAGATGGTTGCCATGGTTGATTTGAGCTGCTTTATTTGCCGAAAATGGCAGCTTCGAGCTGTACACCCCAGGGAGCTGAGATGGTATTTGAAATGTTTCATTGGCCCAATGAGCAGGGTAATAATGATGTAGCGCCTTGAACACCAATACTGATGGATATGTGCCTTTTATAAAAACACATTATTAGTATTGTCATTATTAATGTGTTTGGAGGCCTAACCTGTTCTCGGAGAATCTCATTCTCCTTGTCCAGTGTCTGGGTCACGGTATCCGACTGCTGGAGGACTAGCTTGAGCTTGGCGTGGGCTTCAGCCATGCTGTCCATATCCACGGCCGCTGTCTCTAGCTTAGCTGTCAGATCGGCACACTGCTCTTGAAGTTTCTCATTGGCATCTGTCAGATTCTGGAGGGAGAAAATATAAAGGAAACAAATTAATCACTTAAATAAATACATCTGGGGGGATAATCGTCCTTACTCGCAACAGAAGCTGAATTGCGAAGGATCTACGACGTAGTTGAGCCGAAGGCACATAAAGGCAGCAACATTAGGCAGCCCCCGTTTGACCCATGTCTTACCAAGGAGCACAGCCAGAGAGAAAGTGTTGAATTTTGCAAAGGGAGGTAAACCAGACACTTAGGATAAAAACCCTCGTTGGTCAGGAAAAAATCAATAAACCACTGTACTCATATACGACCCGGGAATCAAACTCGGGCCACAGCAGTGAGAGGCGAGCACTTTTACGAACCTGAATTTCTTCAAGTTGGTCGTTCAATTCTCTGTTCTTCAAGCGCAACTTGTCGTGAACCTCCGCGTCGTCCCCGCGCCGTTGGAGCATGCCCTCACGTTGCGATTCCATCTGGCGCTGGTAATCCCGCAGGTCTGTGCGTAACATGTCATTCTGGAAGTGGAAACCAGCCCAAACAGGAAAAAAGACATTGATGTCAGTTTTTGACTTTAAAATTGACAATTAAATATTGAATAGAGTAATGCATTGAAATGCACATTTCACTTAAAGGTAGAGAAGATCATTTGCAGCTATCCAAAAAGTTACTGATTAAATTATTGTTGAAAAGCTTACTTGGTTTAAAGATAGTAATGGCACTAAACTCCCTGTGAAATTTTTCCTTCTGGCATGCTGTCACTTTGAAGGAAACAATAAAAGAAGGCCATTTCCAAAGATGTGTCTTGTGACGCATTTTTGGAAATTTATGTTAGTAGTTGGTTTGTAGTTTGGCGAATCCGTGAACGGGTGCGCACAAGCGTTGACAGTTCTGTGCGTGACATCACGTAGATACAATCGGCTGAATGAGAAGGTGTCCTGGATGCTGATTTCGGACGCAATTCAAAACATAACTCTGCAACTTTCGGATTGAAATCGAGATCCTAGAATATTGTTTTCTTGGAATACACAGCATTCACTGAGCTAAAACTTCTTCAAGTTAGTTATTAAGCACTCGTCTTTAGATTTTGAGCACTTTTGTCTCTTCAAATGAAAAACAATGCACAAATGACAAATGATCTACCCTACCTAAAAGCTGAAGATCAATATTTTACCAAAATAGTATACATATACAAAATAAACCATAGTTTTAGCAGGGGAAATTGTGTAAAAAGGGAAGAAGGTAGTCATGTGTGTTCATCAGTTGTTCAGTCACTTCTTCATGGTACACTGGATTAACTTGAAACTTGGAACAATCATCGACCCTGATTCCAAGGTAAGCATATTACAATAATGTCATAATGACATCATCGGGTACTGAATTACAAGCAATTGAAAAATATTTCTTACTAAACTCATTTACATCTAATAAATCATATCAACATTAGGCCAAAAAAACAAAATCTGTTGCCCTCATCTGACCGACCAAAAAATATTTGGTCTTTTTGTTTGGGATTTGCGCGCATTTAGAATAAAAATACATTGTAAGTTGCGCATTCTTCGGGCCAGAGGTGTTCAAACAAGTATACACACGTGCTTTTTAGAAAGTTTTTAGAAAGAGCACCATGTGCTTTTGGTGCACAGAGTACTTGATTTACAACTGTCCCACCCAAGTAATTTTTTCCAACTTTCACTCGGGAGGTAACGCACTGAGTACACAGTGTTTTTACATTGGTGAAGGGCAAAACCTAATTTGATTGACATCAACCCGACGCAAATATTCCATCTTATGGACATTGCTCCAATAACTTACGTCTCGCTTCAGCTCCCGGATCTCCCGTTCAGCTTCCTCTGCTCTTGATGCAAACTAAACAAGTTCAAAACAAAAACCAAACAGAATTGATGACTGTAACTGATGTCAAGGTGATTAGTCACAAATCTTAAAAATATACTTTGTTAGGGAAAACAAGGGCCTCTTAAGCTGAATTGGGAAATCAACACAAGTGCCTATTGACAGAGAGCTAGTGTCGGGGGAAAGATCATCAGAAAAATTAGAATTTTGGAACTAAATTTGAAAAAGTTGGATTTTAGATTAAAATCGGAAAAGTTTCATCTCTGAACTGTTGCATGTTAATTGTTGCATAGGGCAGGCTTACTGGACAAGAATTCTACCCTGGAGGGTTGGTATTTGGTGGGCTGTGACTCACCCTCTCCCCGTCTCGTCTCTCCTTGATCAGTTCCCGATCTTTCTCTTTGAGTTCTCGCTGGAGAAGGTCCGACTGCCGACTCAACTCGTGGATCTCGTTCTGGAGGGAACGGATGTCCCTGGAACCTGAGGCACCACCCATACGCTATTAGGAAGAACAAAAAAGATGAATGAGATTTGAAGGTTTGCATGGTGAAGGTAGCAATAAGATAAAGTTTACGGTAGCACCACCATGTGACAAATCTCTTTGTGAGTTTGTGAGTTTGTGAGTTTGGACAGTATGCTCTGCCCGTCGCAGGAGACTGAAGGGAGGTTATGTGGTGCGACTGGAAGCAATGAAGCACGTGTGAAATGATGCAACATAAATCTAGGGTCCAAAGTGTGACATGTTTCAATTTTTTTTTATCTAAGTTGTTGCGCCAATGCAGCACAAGGAGTTTTCACTATGGCATTCTGAATCTGACAAAGTAAGACAAAACAAATGGCAGAAAAAAATTGCACATTTCAAAGTATTCAACAGGGGAGTCAGGTTGGCGTAGTGGTACTTTCCTCGCCTTCCACCGCTGTGACCCAGGTTCGAGTCCCGCCTGGGCCAATATGTGGATTGGGTTTTCGGTCCCTGCCTGATTCCGTGGGTTTTCCCCAGAATATTCTTCTGGGCTTTCCTCCCACCTCTAAAACTGTAACTTCTTCTCATTGTCTCCTCTCCACAGGTTTCTTCAGGCTTGCGAGCTACAGTGCCTAGGGCGCTTTTGAGGAATCCTTGGTTTCATTACCAGAAATGATTAATAATAACACTTATGGTTATGACAATATTACAAGCCTTTTCAAACTTGGCATAAGTCCAAAACTAAAGACATTATTGATTTAATGTCAGGGTACTTAGTTGAATGGATCAGGGAACCAGACTGACAGAGTAGATTGTGAATCTCAATGAAATAGGACTGTGGAACTAGGCTGATACAAAAATTAATTGTGCAGGGTACGGAACAAGATTGTTCAGGAAAGAGAACTTAAATGGTTCAGGGAACTAGACTGAATGGCAGGTGAAGAATAATACTTGTGTCAAGGAACTAGACCAAATTGGTCTGGGAGCTAGACTCAAATAGTCTGGCACCTAGACTGAATTCTCAAGGAAACGAAATGGAATGATTCAGGGAACTAAACATCTACTTACCTGTAGTCTCTTGTTTTCTTCTTCCAATTCTTTGATCTGATCCAGCAGTGCTTGCTCTGTACAGTCAAAGAGAAGAAAAGTTTACTTCCAAAAAGAAAAAGGGTAAAAAAACACCAGAGCATCTAGATGTAGCCAATTTTGCCGACCTCAGACCAAAAATACTGCAGGGCTGTGCATCGGAACCGGGTACCCAAGTACCCGACCGTTGATGTCAGGAACCAGTTCCAGATTACGGGATCAGGTACCCGTAACCAACTTTTCATATTGTTTAGTAAATTCTCAGACAATGAAAAAGAAAGGTTAAGAATGTCATTTGTGGGAGATTTTCAAAATGAAATCCAGGCTACATGGGATAAGAAGACACATTTCACATTTATGACGCTCGAGAAAATTGCAGTTTACACCGTTAAGCTATAAAACTCACTGTACACACTTGCATCTAGCTACATCGATGCACCGATGTGGAAGTATTACAAGTGTGGACCTTTATGAATAATATGAACAGCAACTCCCCGGATTTGGCGTTTGGGATTGTGCTCTTTTACAGGTACCCGTGGGTTTTTCAATCGGGTACCCGGTCCCCGTACTAATGCATACGTCATAGTATAGTCAGGAACCATGACAAGTCGATGTGGTATTGATACGACAACGCTCTAGACACCATGCAGAATTTATTATGCTAATGCAGTGTATATTTCATAGTACAGTCGGGAACCATGACGAGTCGATGTGGTATTGATACGACAATGCTCTAGGCACCATACAGTGAGCGCCTGTAGTACAGTACTCGTGGTCATAAAGTTTTTAAGTTCAAAGTTGGACATCTAGCTGGCATGGCGGGTAGGCCAATTGTTGCGTTGTTTGTTTGAACACTCAGTCAACTGTAAACCTAGTCTGCTATAAACAGTGAGGTTCATTACCCTTTCTAAATTCTAGACACAAACCCTAGGTCATTAAACAGCTGACTGGTACTTAATATTAAGTAGTTTTCACGTCTGTTGTGTCTTCTTTTAGGTTTATCTGACGTTGTCCCCTCAGTTCACTTTGAATGTGAAGAAGTGGAATTTATAAAATATATAATTTAAATTCCCCTCCCGACCGATTTTTTTTTTTAATCTTGAGTGATAAAACCTAAACATCAATGTTGATTGGCCTAACCAAGTGATTCGGACATGGTCTTAGTAAGTGAGTTACAAAGATAATAGTCCAGCCCGTCTGGACCAGCCAAAAAAATTAAATTGAGCCTTGGACCCAGAATTCATTAAGTCTTGGACCCAGACTTCATTAAGTCTTGGACCCAGACTTCATCAAGTCTTGGACCCAGACTTCATCAAATCTTAGACCCAGACTTCATCAAGTCTTGGACCCAGACTTCATTAAGTCTTAGATCCAGACTTCATCAAGCCTTGGACCCAGACTTCATCAAGTCTTGGCCCAGACTTCATCAAGTCTTGGACCCAGACTTCATCAAGTCTTGGACCCAGACTTCATCAAGTCTTGGACCCAGACTACATCAAGTCTTAGACCCAGACTTCATCAAGTCTTGGACCCAGATTTCATTAAGTCTTGGACCCAGACTTCATCAAGTCTTGGACCCAGACTTCATCAAATCTTAGACCCAGACTTCATCAAGTCTTGGACCCAGACTTCATTAAGTCTTAGATCCAGACTTCATCAAGTCTTGGACCCAGACTTCATCAAGTCTTGGACCCAGACTTCATCAAGTCTTGGACCCAGACTTCATTAAGTCTTAGATCCAGACTTCATTAAGCCTTGGACCCAGACTTCATTAAGCCTTGGACCCAGACTTCATTAAGTCTTTGAGCCCAGACTTCATTCTAGACTGCAGGTGCTTACCATTGCGGACCCCTTCCTGGCCCTGTTCCTGGGCCATGTTATCCAGTTCCTCCATGGCTACATGAGCTTGCTCACTCTTGATCTGCATGATGGCCCGCGATACCTCGAACAACTGGAGCAGCCGGTCTGGGGCCTCCGAGTCCGATGGGGCAGCCTGCGAGGTCAAGGGTCAGGGGAACAAAAAAATTGAATTACATCTGTTTGAGACAGGCGAGCATGTACCAAACAAGTGGTGGAATAAAAACGCTTCAACTATTCGGTTTGGATTTTGGAGAGAAAAAATTCAAGCCTTCCAATTTTTATGTCACAAGCTAATGAAAATATCTGGAACATCCCCTAATTTGCTCCATGGTCTCTAATAGTGACTGCAATCACTCGTTAGCAGTCTTCTTGGCTCACGAATAGCCTGTCCATTCGACTGATCAGAGAATCCCATCCACTTTTTCACCATGACAATTCTAAAGTGTTGTTTAACCCTTACCCCCTAAGGGTTCCTCAGGACTACCCTGCTAAATCCGACAGAGTCCAGCGGTTACTTCCTGCTCAATCTAATAGAATCCAACTGTGCCTAATTTTTAGTTGTCTGCTGGATCAAACAGAGTCCAACTTGGCGTTACTTATCAGTACTCAATAGAATCCGACTCTGAATATGACATGTGTGTACATTTGTAACAGAGGATTACTGCTCAATCCAACAGGCGCCAACGGGTTTATGATATACATGTAGTTGGATCCTGTTGGATTCAGCAGGGTACCAAGTGGTCAATGAATCTCGCAATCTATACCCAATCATCGTGGAGGGCATTGCATGAGGCACCTCAAGTGTCACTTTTTGTTGGTGTGGCTGTGAGCTGAATGGGATGTTCAAGTGAAACCAGCTTTTGAAATCTCCCAATTCTCCCACTACTGAACCGTACGTGAACATGTAGCGGGCAGCGAGCATTGTATGACACCACAAGACCACACAAACTGATGACCTATCTGGTATGCACTTCTAACCGTGACTGTTCTTGAAAAGAAAGGACTGACAGGGAGTCAGCGGGTTATTTGCTCCGTGAAAGCACAGGAGTGTTGTTTCTTTAATTTTGGCATCTTGAAAAGGAATAATGGGATGGTGGAGACATTGATCAGAATGGCCAATGTTTAGTTATGGAAAGATTACTTTAGAAATTTTGTATTATTTGCGACCCAACGATAATTCAGTTCTGGCAAGTAAGACTGGTTCTTGCCCCCTATCAAAATTGATAACATGGGTAAGTGGAACCAGTCTACTCGCAGGACATGACGTCAGTTTTGCTTCGTATTCGCATGAAGTATTAACCGGCCTTATAAAGTGCAGTGATTATTACAGCATCAATCTTCCAAAATCCTCCAAGAGCGCCTGGTTGATTTTGGAGGATTGAGGTTTCAATTAGGACAATTTTTTAGGATGTCATCTCAGTCTACCCACCTTTGTCAAAGGTTGAATCATCCCCACTGAAGTTGAGGGCGCTATTTTCATGCCCAAAATTACCACAGTTTGTGTGACCCTTTTTTTGACATGGAAAAACACATACAAGGCTATACAAAAATGTGCTCTAAACATAAAAGAAACCCAATAACTGTGGGGTGTAGTTGACCTTAGAAAGCTTGGTTTGTAATAAAATGGTTTGTAGTAAAATAAGGTCCCGAAAAAAGTTGTAGATCCCACAAAACAGCGATGCCATTATTCTTTGCAACAGTGTGTGTAAATTTCCCATACATGTCTGTACACACTTAAAGAGGTTGTGGAATGCTCGAAGACATTTCCGTCATTTTTCGGGTATATGTAGCCTAAGGTGTGATGAAATAAAAACGACTATTGTTTCTGTCATGAAATGAGTACAAAAGGTACTTTTGAGAGCTGTTTTTCAGGTCCAGTTTCGACCCGAACGTGCAACTGTGTAAAAGTCGTCGTTGCGGGCAGCAAACAAAACACAGTAAATCGTGACGTAATAAACAGGACTCGTGTATGCTACTGTGCATCGGGAGTCCTGTTTATTACGTCACGATTTACTGTGTTTTGTTTGCTGCCCACAACGACGACATTTACACAGTTGCACGTTCGGGTCGAAACTGGACCTGAAAAACAGCTCTCAAAAGTACCTTTTGTACTCATTTCATGACAGAAACAATAGTCGTTTTTATTTCATCACACCTTAGGCTACATTTACCCGAAAAATGACGGAAATGTCTTCGAGCATTCCACATCCTCTTTAACTGATGTGGTCACATTTATTTCAACCTAAAATGAGCATCCTTTTTAGCAAAAAGAACAACTTGAAAATTGCGATAACTTCAGAACCGATTGCCCTATGCAGCTATTGGACCCCTTATTTAATTGCATTTTGAAAGCTCTATAAGATTAATTAAATTCTACAACTTTATATTGTCAGTCCACCTAAAACGACGAGGATATGTTTTGACGCACTCGCATTCAATTTGCGTTGGACAATGCGCGCGCGCGTTGCAAGCGTTACCTGCGTCAATTATGGTGACTCGAGGATAACCAACTTTGGAAAGATTTCCATATACGAAGTTCACTCAACACTCTGTGTACAAACCCTATGAGAGTGGACTGAAAAATTCTAAGTGTTTTCTAAGAAAATGCTTGTATTTTCTCACTGCTCAAATTGACTTTGATGACATGAAATTGCTATCTGGGGGCTTGTTAGTCAATACTGAGGAAAATTAGTGAACTTCGCATATGGTAATCTTGCCCCAACGTTGAAAACTGATGATTCTACCTACCTTTGAGAGTGTTCTGTACAATTCATCGGCGGTCTCTTCCGTTAGCTCCTTGGCATCTAGCCCCATGATTTGGTCCCAATCAACGGGAGCCATGTTGACTGGTAAGATGGGCTAGCGTCCCTTAGCTTATTTTACTGTACATGGCAATGGAATAAAAATCAGATCAAATGGAAATAGGGAAAGAGGGGGCCCGGTATTTTCAACCGGGGTGGGGGGGGGGGGAGAGGGAGAATCCGACCATTTGCTATTAAGCACAAACCGTTGGTCTGACTCTGACTAGAGTTAATTATATGTTGCAAACAAAGTAAGTGCGTGGTCATGTTATAGCAATTACAGTTATTTGATCTCACTCTCTCAATTACACAAGGCAGTGCTGGTTTTCCTTATGATGTGGACAAATACAGGGTGAGTCAAAAAAAGCGGAACCCAAACCCCAAAAAACATATTTCATATTTAAAAAAAATATGTAGCACCAAAAATAATAATGACTGGAAAGCCAATTTCATAAGCTCCTTTTAGATGAAAAAAATACTGAAATTGCTCAATCCGTTCAAAGAATATCACCATTTAAACGCAACGACCCTAAAACCTTTCTCGTCCAAAAAAAGCAATTTATTGTGTGTTTTGACTGTTTGGAACAACAAAGAAAATGACACAGAATACTTGTTTCAACAACTGTCACCACCTGTAGTGCACAATATCTTTATTAACAATCCCGGTTAGGCAAACAATAGGCCTATAATTTATAAAATCTACTTTTTTTTAAAAGACGGGCCTTCAAAAAGACTGTAGGCCCTATGTACTCTATGTACGGAGCCTCATAGATCAAGAAGCCCGCAAAATTGCCTGCAGCACAAAACACTAATAAAGTACAAAAACGTCCATCAAAATGCAGCCATTTCACACAGAACCGCTGCACAGTTTGCCCCTATACTCCGTACTTTATCTCTTGACATACTCACGTATCTTGTGCGGAACTAACATAGGTGGATTCTGTCAGTTTTTAGGCCAAAATGATGAAAAATATGCCCTTTCCGCATTGAGCCAACCTGACACTTGAAACGTGCACGCATTATGATCGAGACGATGATTTTCGGTTCGCTCGGAGCGCGCCGCGGAGGGTACGGTACATGCACTTGTACGCATGCACATCATTTCGCTTGTACCGTACCCCCCGTGGCGCGCTCCGAGCGAACCGAAAATCATCGCTCGATCATATGCGTGCACGTTTCAAGTGTCAGGTTGGCTCAGTGCGGAAAGGGCATATTTTTCATCATTTTGGCCTAAAAACCGACAGAATCCACCTATGTTAGTTCCGCACAAGATACGTGAGTATGTCAAGAGATAAAGTACGGAGTATAGGGGCAAACTGTGCAGCGGTTCTGTGTGAAATGGCTGCATTTTGATGGACGTTTTTGTACTTTATTTGTGTTTTGTGCTGCAGGCAATTTTGCGGGCTTCTTGATCTATGAGGCTCCGCTCACGTGGAGCCTCATAGTTCTAGGAGTAGGCCCTATGTTGAATATTTGAACGTTTAAACTGAGAATGATTGCTGGTGATGTTAAAAGACAATTGTGACGACGATTCTTGAAAATGCATTTTTTTTTGGACGAAACAAGTTTTACTCATTTTAGGGCCATTGTGTTTAAATGGTGATATTCTTTGAACGGATTGACCAATTTCAGTATTTTTTTCATCTAAAACTTGAGTAAAACTGTAAAAGTAGCTTATGAAATTGGCTTTTTCAGTCATAATTATGTTTGGTGCTAGTGTGCTACATATTTTTTTAAACATGAAATATAATTTTTGGGGTTTTAAATGGTTCACACTCATGACACTCTAGTCATTGTACATGTATGTTTGCATGGTTTGTGCAGAAATCGTTGGCATTCCGCATTGGTAATGCATTGCCATTGCTAATATCGAACAGTGCAGGTGACAGGCTTTCAATGTCATTTTCTACCGTCGCAACAAAATTGTTATCTTACCTTGTTTCTTAGGCATGTTAGGTAACAACCTTTCGTATGAATTTTACATTCTAAACAGTGTTGCCCAAAAATGCCCAGTTTGAGTGCAAGAAAAATATGGCGCGTCCTTCGCAACTGTCAAAGGTCAAAGTAAGCGGTCATACTAAACAGCGTCAACACAGCGTCAACACACTCCAAAGCGTCAACACAGCGTCAACACAGCGTCAACACATCCAAAATGCATTAAAATTGACAAAAGCAGTATGTAACCCATACAGTATGGACAGAAACAAGATTTGTGCTTAAAATCAATAGGTTAAACGTCTGAAAATCGCGATTTGTAGTTCAAGAAAATTGGCTCTCCGTGCCGCTCCGAGATCGGCTGCCGAACACCCGCCATGTTGCCTCAGTGGCAGCGCGGACCATACCATTATTCTAAAGGGTGATAGCGTTGTACAATAAACCAACAGAGAGGGACGCGGCCGGGGTCGCCAGTGTTAAAAATATCTGCAAAGACCAAAACATAAACACAACTCACAAAATAATGATCTACCACTCCTCCGATCCTTAGTCCTCACACAGATCTGGTATCCCTCTGTCTAGTCTGCAGCAAGGCGCCCTCTGTTGTTTATGACAAGATAATGTCATTACCTACACACCCCTACTTGAAATGGTGTAGTCCAAGCTTTGTGCAAAGTCAAGATGGCGGACAAAGGCCGTGCAAGTTAAGGTCATTTTTTTCGCGTGAAAATACGATATTTTTAACAACGAAATGGAAACTCAATCCAATGGAAATTCTCTTTTATTGTATGTTTCACAATTATATGCCCTTTTTGTCAATTCAGAATGTGTTTTGGATGTGTTGACGGTGTGTTGACGCTTCTGTCATGTGTTGACGCTGTGTTGACGCTGTGTTGACGCTGTGTTGACGCTGTGTTGACGCTGTGTTGACGCTGTGTTGACGCTGTTTAGTGCGACCCAAAGTAAGCAATAATCTGACAACAGAGGGCCTCCTTTATTCCGCTACGGCTAAAATTCCCATAGACACCAGCGCTAAATGCAGATACGTGTACATCAAAATTCTTTTAAAACTACTCAGAACTCTCACACGTATTTAAGCTACACAGAAGAATGATGATCAACATGTCATCTTAAATTTTCCTTTGATTTTTGGGTGGGTTGACCATTGACTTTTCGAGAAATTCTCAAAACAAGACGACCCCTATTTTTCAAGAAGCGGAAAAGTAGCCATCTTGCGATCCCTCCAAAACATGGCAACAATAGCGCCACTTTTGAGCCCAATTGCATGCTCAGAATTGGAAGCCCCAATTCCGGGCCAGAGGTTCATTGTCATATCTCTTCAATTCCCCAATGTTATGACTCTCAGAACTCAGTAATATAGATTTTTTTTAGGGGATGATAACTTTTATTCATGAGCTCGCTCGGCGGATGGGTTTCCTATTTTGACCGGTGCACCCAGTCCAGCAGAATAAGACAACCAGTGGCAATCTAGGGCCGGTGTGACAGGTAATTCTGTCCCCCTGGTAAATGTGTCCCCCCGGACACATTTACCGGCTTGTGACCCGGTAAATGTGTCCGGGGGGACACTTTTACCTAGGTAGATTTGTCCCCCTCCAGGTAAAATTGTCCCCCTGCCCAACGGTGAAAGTGTCCCCCTGGTAAATGTGTCCCTATGCAGTTAGCCTTGACCAAGGCTACCAGTTGTTCCCATTATGAGCTTGTTCCCGCTACCGCACACCGCGCGCGCAGCAACACAATCTTGTACTATACCGTTAGCCCCAACGACCCTTGCGTGTGCTTTGTGTGCATGTACGTACGCCCCACACTCACTTCCGCAAACAGCCGTACAGTAAGTCGAGGCTTCCGCCTCGACTTAATACTGTACGGCTGTTTGCGGAAGTGTGTGTGGGGCGTACGTACATGCACACAAAGCACACGCAAGGGTCGTTGAGGCTAACGGTATAGTGCAACTAGTGATTGTGTCGCGGCGCGCGCGGTGTGCGATAGCGGGAACAAGCTCGTATGGGAACAAGCTGGTAGCCTTGGTCAAGGCTACTATGCAGTATACATTGTATATACTGAGAGCAGCAGCGTGTCGCGCGCGCGCGCCAGTACATGCTGCAAGATATGTGGCAGTGATTATCACATGTGAACATGTGCATCCCTCTACAATGGAAATTCATCCAATAGGAAATGTGGTTACGCGCTATGATGGCAAAACAGACCAATCCAAGTAGGCGTTGTATCAATGAGACGAGGGCCATCGCCATGCATCGCCGCTGTATTGACCTATCGCGGTAGAATCGCGATAGATTTCACCGTACTCCAAATCGAAACGTTGTGTTCACATATCATCTATTAGACCAAATTAAATATTTTTATATTCATGAAGGGCAGACTAAAAGTCCAAAATGTATACCTAGAGTGAATTCATAAAAACAGTAAAGAGAACTGGCCTTCCGGGTTTCAAAAGAGGGGGACAACAAACCCTGCCCTTACAGAAATGTCCCATGAGCATCCCATGGGATTCCCATGGGGTCCCATGGGATTCCCATGGGACCCCATGGGAAACCCATGGGGTCATCAAGAACACCATGTAAGTTAAAATGATCATCATGGGAAACCCATGGGAACACCATGGATATTGCATGGACAACATGGGAACACCATGGGGATTTTACGAGCTCCATGGGAACACCATGGGGATTTTATGAGCTCCATGGGAACACCATGGGGATTTTACGGACACCATGGGAACACCATGGGGATTTTATGGACATCATGGGAACACCATGTGGAATTAATGAACACCATGGGAACATCATGGGGATTTTATGGACACCATGGGAACACCATTGGGATTGTATGTCACCATGGGAACACCATGGGGATTTACTGGACACCATGGGAACATCATGGGGATTTTAGACACATGGGTACACCATGAGGATATGGGGGTTTTAGACACATGGGTACACCATAATGTGGGTGATATAAATTATGGATACAATGGGAACACCATGGAGATTTAAAAGGCAGCACGGGGACACTGCCGGGTTATACTGGAGAACATGCATGTGCCATGAAAAACCATCATAGACCCAATTGCACTCCCAAGTTATAGGCAAACCTTTCTTTGATTTAATTACTTATTCGCCTAGCTGTAAATTTGAATTCAATTAAAAATATTTCCCTTGTGGCCATAGAGGTTATCAAGAATTCTATTTGTTAAGCTGACCATGGGAAACTCCTGTGGATGTTCACCAATTGAACACAATGGGATAAACACCATGGGACACCATGGGAACACCATGGGACACCATGGGACCACCATGGGACATTTTTGTGAGAATCTCTGACAATAACGAGTGTTGTAATTGCACATTTTTGAATTTTTCTGTTGATAAGTGAAGTTAAATGATGCATACAGTATTTTTTTATGTGGACAATGTGTCATTCAAACTTTGGATAATATATATTCATTTATTATTATGGTTGGAAACATTTATGAGAAAATAAATTGGGAACACTGTGATAATATGGTACAACTTGACAAGCGGTATGGGAGCAATGATATGGACATTAGTCATAGAGTGCACAAGCCACTCCTATTACGTAGAACAACCCCCATCGGAGTTCCGTGATGTGCTTTACCTATTTTGCTGAATAGCACTTAACACACAGGGTTAAAATGTGTAGGAAGTTGTTATTGAAAAATACCATGGAGCAGTAATTTTTTTTGAGAAATGAAAGGAAACCGTACATGGGAAAAAGCCCATACAAAATTTCCCATGGGAAAAAGCCAATGGGAAAACTCCCATGGGAAAAATCCCATGCTACATGGTGTCCAATTCACCATGCAAATCCCATGGGGTCCCATGGGAAAATTTCCCATGGGAATTACATGCGACATTTCTGTAAGGGTGGGGGACAGAATTACCTGGAGGGGGACAGAATTAACGGGCCGGGGAGGACACTTTTACCTAGGTAATTCTGTCCCCCCCCCGGACAGTTTTACCGGGGACAGAATTACCTTCCACCCCCCCCCCCCCCCACTAAAAAATTCCTGGCTACGCCACTGAATACACGTTATATAAAAATGAATTTTCGTACACTCATTTGTCACGATGTTTGACATCAAAAGATTTCATTTCAAAATAAAAACGTCAAATTATCAAGCTATTATGGCCGTAACAATACAGGATTTTAATTGCAACAAATACAATCCTAATGCCAGTCAACATGGATTTTTTACGTTTCAAACACTAGATTGTTATGATCATATTCTATTTATAGCTCCACGGTTTCTCATGCCATTCAAACTACTTATGCTACACATCGTGAAAACTAATTGCTTGAAATTTCAATTTAATCCATTTTGTATTTCTTGAGTAGTTCATCGGAAACGAGGTTGTTCTTTTTCTTCACTTGTGCAGTATCCGTGTTGATGCGTTGTTAAGACCACTATTTATGTAGCGCGCCCTCTATTATAGTGGTCTCGATCTCCACCACCTAACCCGATTTCGGGCCAACAACTCAAGAAATACACGTTACATTAAAACGAATTTTCGTACACTCATTTGTCATGATGTTTGGCATCAAAAGATTTAATTTCAGAAAAAAAACGTAAAATTATCAAGCTATTATGAAAGTAACAATACAGGATTTTATTTGCAACAAATACAATCCTAATGCAAGTCAACATGGATTTTTAACGTTTAAAACACTAGATTGTTACGATCATATTGTAACTATAGCTCCACGGTTTCTCACGCCATTCAAACTTCTCATGCTACACATCGTGAAAACTAATTGCACGAAATTTCAATTGAATCCATTTTGTATTTCTTGAGTAGTTCATCGGAAACGAGGTTGTTCTTTTTCTTCAAATGTGCAGCATCCGTGTTGATGCGTTGCCGAGACCACTATTTATGTGGCGCGCCCTCTATTATAGTGGTCTCGATCTCCACCACCAAACTCGATTTGGGGCCAACAACTCAAGAAATACACGCAGTGGCGTAGCCACGTGGGAGCGTGCGGGGCGATAGCCCCCCCCCCCCCCCCCCCCCACATGAAATCTTGTCGTCCCCCCCCCCCCCCAGTCGCCCCCCCCCCCCAACTGAGATTTTGAGTTTCTAAAAAAAT